TAGCCTTGTTGGCTGGGCTACCTCCAGTCTTAGAAGCAATGTGCCTGCATGCACCAGTTGCTAGGAGCTGGTATCCATCCCAGAGGATCCTGTGCACAGCTGTTTTGCCCCTGTGTGGATAGAGTAGTGGACTGGCTGGATCAGTGGTCTGATCCCAGCATGGGTTTTCTTAGTTTCTTTGAATCAGAGCTAATGAGCTTGCATGACTCAGGTTAATTTTTCTTACTTCTTTTAAACTCTGCTAAATCTGAGCCATATTCATTTCAACAGACGGCCATGCAGAGAAGATCTCTTAGAGGAAAGACTTCCCCCATCCCAGCCAAAATAAAAATGTTTAGCTCTAGGATCACGTATAAAAGCAGAAGTTAAAAAAAGGCAAGACCAAGGGGCTAATGTGGGGAAAAGAGGGAGGTAAGAGGAGCCACACAGCCCAGGGGAGGGCCATCTATTTCAAATGTGTTTCCTCTGCTTCTGAAGAAGTTCATATTTGTAATGCCTTAGTCAGCACATCTGTGGCACTGATTCACTTTTCAGTTCCCCATTGTCCTTGTATAAAACTCCTCAGTGACCCAAAGAAACTGGCTGAGATTGCAAAAAAGAAATGAAGAACGTGGCTTCTCCTTCACCCAACACATTATTAGTGTTTGAAATCTTTCTTTCTTTCTTTCTTTCTTTCTTTCTTTCTTTCTTTCTTTCTTTCTTTCCCTTTGATTCAGGCTATGTGTTGAGTAGATGTCAGCTTTGATCTTTATCAAATAATAAGGCTACCATTAGACCTCAGTCCTGATCCATTGTAAAAACTTGATCCTCTGATGTATTAATGAGCTAAAACCACAGAAGCTCTGATTGGCAGAAGTGCTACGCACCATGGCTGCCTTTGACTTACCAAAATCTTCAAAAGGGTCTGATGGCCCTGAAGAACTGGATAGATCTTTGGTAGGATCCAGAATGGCTTTTCTTATGTTCTTAACATTCAAACAATGGCCTGTCGATTTTACAAACTATCCCATTTCATGATACTACAGAAGAGCACCAGAAAGCCAATCTAAATTTTCTTGGTCTTAAATTCCATGGCATGGTCAGAAGCTTTCCAGAAAAATTCAGATTTAGCAGTTCTTCTTGTCTACCTTCTCTCTGCTAACACACATGATAAGCTTCAACATACAGCATACAATGAGTTCAATCTGGTTTGTCCTTTTGACAGATGAATTTCTTGGGTCAATTTTTTTCCCTTACTGCTGCCCTCCACAGTTTTCCAAACCCATGTCCTGAGTTAGTTCCCCACTTGATTTCCAGCTCTGGAAAGTTGCTTAATGGATAAGTGATTTAATCCACCTGTTGAGAAGTCACTTGCAACCATCATGCACTCATGATTAGCAAACGTTAATTGGTTTGGGCTCTCCCACACTAGAGACATTCAGAGAGAAACTGGACTGCCATCTGAGTTGGATGGTGTAAATTGGTGTCCTGCAACAGCAAGGATAGAACGTGATGGCCTTCTTGTCCACTTCCAAACCTACTATTCTATGATTCTATGAACCACCCAGAACCCATGGGCTGTTTTAAGGTTGTGAGTGATTTGTCAACCATGTCAATGACCCATCCCATTAGGGTCAAACAATGCAACAAGTTGTGGTTTTACCTTGAGTATTCAAAACCCACCAAGCATGAGCCATCATCTGCTGCAAATTACCCTGATTATTTAAGAACCCTGATTATTGTGTGAACCCAGTGTATGTGTGCTTTGCAAAGCCTAATGTCTCATGGTGAAATTTTTATGGTGCCATCACGCTGCCTCGTTCACAGGAGCAATCCAGGGCAAGAACAAGGCTGGGAAAGAATCTGCCTGAATCCCAACTGCACATTACATTGAAGGTGCAGCTAACAGCCATGCCATATATGTGTGACTTAGTTTCTCTTGTTCTTTCCATCCATCTTTCATTTGTTTGTTTTTACTGTTGAGAGGTTTCCCATTTTTACTGGAATGCCCCACATTGTGAGGGGAGATTTAGTATTTCCCTTCCCAGCTACAATTGTACTAGTGATTCCCCCCCCCCCCCCCCGGAAGAATGAGGTTTCAGAGGAAAGCCCCCATTGGTTCAATGGACTAGTCCCTCCCACTATTACGCAATTCTTTAAAAGAAAGTCTTTTCAACCAGTAACTGGCTAGGGGCTTAGCAATTCCTGAGGAAATTACAGTACTTATAAAGTGTTTGTTGGCAACAAAAGGTCCCCACTGACATGTTTAAAAGATATTCAAAAGTTCATTGTAAAACCTGTATTAAAATTCTTTCTTCTCAGGTTGGTTCTAATCAGCTTCATTGACTGCAGATTAAAACCCTGAATTCTTGAATTATGATAACTGTGAAACAAATCATGCAGATCATTTACTGGTTTGTTAGTTCAATGCCTACTCTGCCCAACAGCTGAATCTCTCTGGGAAGGTTAGAATAGGATAATGATATAATAAAAATACCCATAAATAATCTAAAAAAGTTTTTAAAATCCTTAGATGGTCAGCAACTAAACAAATATGTAATATGCAAAGTATATCTGTTCAAAACACCAGGCATGGGTACCCGTTAGCTAACTTAAGACATCCTCAAATGCTTCTGCACACAGGGGTGTCTTAACCTGGCACTGAAGGGATGGAAAAGTTAGTGCCAGGAGGGCCTCAACAGGGAGATCATTTGGCAGCTGAGAGGCCACAAATGAGAAGGCCTTCCTTGTGACCACCCACCAAGCCTCTCATGGAGATGATACTCAGAGGAAGGCCTCGGATGTTGAACATCGTGTATGGGTAATTGCAGTTGGGAGAGGCATTTGGCCAAATACTGCAGTCCCAAGCCATGTAGGTCTTTAAAAGATACAACTTTGAATTGGGCTCAGAAGCATCTAGGTACCCAGCACAGGTGGGCCACAATTGGTGCTATGTGTTCATACCATCTGCTCCCTGCTATTAATCTGGCCACCTCACTTTGCACAAGCTGCAGCCTCTGAATGATTTTCAAGGACGGTTCTACACAAAGTGAATTCAGCAATTAATTTAGAGATTACCAGAAGTGGGTTACTGAAACCAGGGTGCTCCTGTTCACATAGGGGAGCACCTTTTTACCACGTAGGAGTGAAACTGCTGCAACACAGTCCCTGGGCCCCCCTCCCAGCTCAGACACTCACTGGAGGAGGATACCAAGGTCAAGGTCTTCAAAAACCACAGCGAGATCCAGAAACATCAACAGGGTTGCACTTTCCTGTCTCTCTCCCAGCATAGACCATCATACTGAGCTACCGAAGCTGCCTCCATGCCAAAACCTGGACCTCAGCTGAAATGAATCTGGACAATAGGTCTCCTCAAGAACCTTGCCCAGGAGAGGAATATACACTACTGATCTGTGGTTACTAAAGTGTTTAGGGTCCAGAGAGGATTCTTCAGGACTAATCTCACTAACTCCTCTTTCAGTGTCATGGGGCCATCCCCTCTCTCAGGAAGGCATTGATCATCTTCCTGGCTCAGCCAGCTGCAACCTCCTTGCTGGCTCTGAGAAGCCAGGAGGGGCACAGGTCCTGTACAGGCAGGGTTACACGAACCTGCCCAAGTGCCTTGTCAGTGCCTTCAAGCTGAAATTCATCCAATAAAACTGGAACAGGCTGTGCTTTGGGTATTTGCTATAAGTACAGTTAATTACTGACATGCTCTCTACATGAGGCTGCCTTTGAAGATGATCTGGAAAGTTCAGTTGGTCCAGAATAGGGCGGTGAGGCTGCTGATGAGGACTGGCTGATGCGGCAGCCCTCTATCAACTTCATTATTTACCAGCTGAAATCTGGGCCCACTTCACAGCCCTAACAATAGTATTTAAAGCCCTTGTCTTGGGGCAAGGTTATCTAAAGGAGTGCCTCTTTATTCATTCATTAAAACTTTTATATGCTGTCCCATATGTGTGGCATTTCGGGACGGCTCACAATATGTGCCTACCAGGCCCTAAGATCATCATCTGAGGTCCTTCTCAGAGAGGCCCCTTTGAAGGAAATAAAGTGGATAGCTATGAGAAGGGCCTTCTTGATAGTGGCACCCCAGGTCTGGAACCAGTTCCCCAAAGAGGTTCTCCTGTCATTTCCTCTGTATTCTTTTTGGTGCCAGATAAAAACCTTTTTACTCACCCAATATTTTAATTTTTTAAAAAAATTAAAGAGATTTTTGTATTATATTCATCGTATTTTAGTGCTACTGTGCCTTTGGTTTAATTGAATTGTGGTTGTGATGTTTTATTGTGGGGTTCTCTTGTGTTTTATCACTTCATTTTATTGTTGTATATATGGCTAATTTAATAATATGTTTTATTGTCTATATATATTTTGTAATCACCCAGAGATTAATTTTTACTAATGGGCAGGGTAGAAATTTAATAAGTAAATAACCCTGAGGTCTTAACTTCAGATGGATACAAGGAATTATATCCTGGAAGAACCCAGCAAGTACCCTGAAAAGTCATGGATGTCCTTTGGCCAGGGTATAATAAGCTCCCAACAATCCTAATAAGCTCTGCTGGAGGGCTAAAAGTAGATACATAGAGGCAGTGAAATGTTTCTTTGCTACCTAAGGAAGCTGGGATTGAAACCTGTGATTCACAGTGTGATCACAACCATGCAGTCCATGGATACCTTTGATTCGTTTGGGGCCACTTGATTTCCCTCTCTTTCCCAGCCTCATGATGAAGCAGCTGAGCACACAGCGCTAAGCTTGCAGAAGAGTGCATGCCAGTGACCTCTCTGAGCGCATGCACGAAGCACAGACCTGCTGCTAGAGGAGCTAAGAAGGTTTTAATTCTCCCATGGAGAGTTGCCGGTTACTCAAAGTTTTACCTGGGTGGCAGTCTGGCAGATACTCAGAACTGACTTACAATAGTGTTTCATTTTACTTGTACCAAAAGTAATAGATACAAGATCTATCAACAGTACCGAAAGACACCTAGGATCCTCACTCTCCTCCTCCTTCCTAGGCTCAGCACTTCCCAGCATCAGCCCTAATGACACCACACTGGTTGTGAAATCAGGAGATCCAGTGCGCTTATTTTGCTCTGGGAACTCCCGTGTGAAATGGCTCGGCGTAACGAATGGGTCCAAAGTGACGGTGTACGAGAATGGCACCCTCTATATACCCCGGGCCACATGCAAGGATATGAGACACTACCAGTGTGCCTATGTCAGCAGAACTAATGAGACTGCATCTGTCTTTCTGTTGGTGAGAGGTAAGCGGATTATTCCTTGCATTGCGACCTCCTCTGTTCTGGTGCATAAGCCATGATACTGCTTAACTCGAGCACTACGGGGGCCTTCACTCCAGCCATGCTCTTCCAAAGAAGGCAGGCTCTGTATTCTACAGAGGACCGTCCTCTGTCCAAAGGCCTGTCCAGTTCAATTCCACTTTCAGGATGCAGGAACCTAAGAACTGCTGCCCATCGCTGCCTAGCATCTGAATGGCAGGCCGAACAGGCAGGCCCCCATGCCTCTTAGGCTTGCATGCAATGCTGAGACACTGTCCTTATTTTTAAATGATTCCTAAATTCACATCTTAACTGCAAAGCATATGCCAGTTTCAGGAAAATCACCACCTTCTCTGTGGGTGATGCCTTTCCTCATTCTTGGTGGCGGCCCTGGCAGAAGGAGAGAGTGGGGCTGTGCCTCCTGCAAATGACTCTCCCAAACCACACGCGGTGGGCAAGTGTGTGCGGAAGAGCACCTGTGAGGGGCTGCTGGAGGGCGGATACGCCATCGGGACTGGGTGCTGCTGCCGCCTTCTGCCCCAAAGTCAACAGTGAAGGGGACCATGTGCGCAGCAGGTATGCATTGGGTTCAGCTTCACCATGATCTCCTAATCTTTTTTTTTTAACCATGCACAGATCATAAATCATTCTGGTGTGTCCGCTCCACAAAGTCCATTATAGTGACAGAAGGAAAAGATGCCGTGTTCCCATGTCTGAGCACCGACCCAGCATTCAACGGCAGTGTTATGCTTCGGAAATCGAAAAAAGAGGTCCCCATGGAATTCTCTTTCAATCCTCGGGAAGGGTTACGCTTGCACAATGTAAGAAAGGCCCACGCTGACAGTTACTGGTGTTCGGCCCAGGTTGAAGGACAGTGGGTGGATTCTCTAAAGATCGGCCTTGTTGTTAATGGTAGGTTTGTGATGGCTGTTGCCCAAGTGTGGGGGTGCATTTCCAGTTATTCGAATAGCAATTTGCAGGATTAAAGCGTGTGATGGGACCAGTTCATCTTGCTGAACTGCAAACTCATTTTATGGAGTGAGCCAAGTGGAAAGATCTGAATCCAATTCCTCCCAGTGATATTCATCAGAAAGCAGGGATGTTGATGTCGGCCTCTCACTTCCACACTCCATGCCATCCTTCCATTACTGTGAGATACTGGGGTGATCTTTGCAAAGCGGTTTAGAAGGGACCAAAAAAAAAAAAAACAGCAAGGAAAAAAACAACAGCTCAGTTGAAACTTTCTTGACTGGCACCCGGTCCTATGATCTCACACAGTGAACTTACGGAATTCGGGACATAGACAGTGTTAATATTCACCAGCATAGATAGCCTTGAAAAGGAAACAGGCAAATGCTGAACTTTATTATGATGTTTGCCAAGCATGTAAGCTCTACAAAGAGGAGAGGAGCAGGCTCAAGCAGACAAGCCGTGCCCACTCTGTCCCGCAGTTTTCTTGACTGCCTGCGTCAGAGAGCCTCCTTTTTCTGGAAATGCAACCCGCATGATTCTACACGCTGGGAAACCAGGGCCTGGAATGGCACAGCAAACCTTCACATAGAGGGGAAGGTCCCTGCTGCAGACAGTCCCCCTCGACTTGTCAAATGTGACAGGAGCAAAAAGGGAGGGCGGCAGAAGTCACATGCTCATGGCTACTGCTCCTCTTTGCGTGTGCTGCCTGTGCATTTTACAGATCCCTGCATAGGATTGTGGAAGATGGGTCTGTCAACAGCTACTATCCATGATAGCCTAATGGGGCCTTCATGTTCAGAAGTGGAACACTGAGAATACCAGAAGTTGTGGACAAATGATAAGAGAGGCCTGCTGTTCACCTTCTGGACCCATCTAGTTGGCTACCACTGAAAACAGACAGTCCCTTGATCTGATACCATAGAGGGCTACTAGCATTCTTATGTTGGTTTGGCATCTGATGTCCCAAGTGGATATCCAGATGTTATAGAGGTGGCCCAGAATGTCGACCTGCCTTAGCTTCAACTCAACTGAAGAAAGGCATCACATAATTGAATAATTAAATTCTCTCCCCACATGACCAAAAAGAACCATTCCAAACCAACATAGAGCACAATCAGGCATGTATGGAAGAAGGAAGTCCCATGCCCTGCTAGATGGAGAATGCTGGGAGTTGTAGGACTTTTGTATGTCTAAATGTGCATAGCACTCTTAATGAATCAGATGATTCTGTGCTACCTCTTTGTACATCACCCTGGGTTTACCTTTGGGGAAGAAGGAGTGGCAACAACAGTTCAGAAATAAAACTAACTATATAGATGGTATATGTTGGAAAATATGGAGAATTGTCCATGATGTATCAATCAGATTCACCCTATACATCAAGGAGAATTTTTGCTATGGCACTTATATTTAGCAAGTTAACCTGATGCAATTAGAAGCGTGATCCATGAGATTGCTGTCACCCAGCCTGGATTAAACTCTCTAGGCAATAGCCCACCATTGAACAAATGGATCTCCTTCTGCATCTCTGTCTGTAGCTGTCTTCCAACTACACATGGACAGCATTCAGTGCAGCTCTGGGCTCACACCACTGACACAGCAACAGCACTAGCACTGTGCTCCAGGTCATTCATGCTAGTGCTACACCAATGGTGTAAGCAGAACGGCTGCATCGATATACTGCCCTGTCTGTATTATTAACCTACTTTTCTACCATATGCTTTGGCTGACAGAGGTAACCTAGCTAAATATGGAAAATAAAGCAGTAATGGAACATTTTGTAGAAGATGCCAGCTTTGAGCGTGCTTTTGACATCTGCAAGCATGGAGCAATAGGCAAGGCTGCGGGCCCTTGGGCAAGGATTTTTGCACAATAACAAGCTGGATCTGGCTTGAATATATATGCTGTGTGTGTATGTTTGCTCCCCTGGAAAGATGATCATGGCGTTATGTGATGGCTTCAGCACGTTCTTTGATGTCCATTACAGTTATGGTGGAAACTGGTGGGCTGATGAAATGTGGGCCGCACTGTGAAAAATCAGGAACGCTTGAAATGAAGAATAAGTCAAAATTTTGCAGAAAAGCATGGTAACAAGCTAAAGAAGTTACCTTAGCATTTTTCCAGCCAAGAGCACAGCATGGGCATAGAGTATGAGGAGGAAGAGGCAAATGGTGAAGGGTGGCAATAGATGGAGGATACCTGGCAGATTCTGACATCTGAAAATATCTCTGCTGTAGCCTGCCACTGACAGACCTTCTTGCTTTGATCTAGCGATCTCCCAGCCTATCTCCGTCACCATCAAAACAAAAGGCAAAGTGAGAATACAAGGAGAGCCTTTTGCTGTCGCCTGCCGAATAAGTTACCCTATCTCTGAGTATAAGGTCCAGATGATCCATCCTTCTACTGCAAATGTAAGTGATATTCTTTGGCCTGCCTTGCCTAAGGTAGATGAACTCTGACCTAAGAGAGAGATTTGGCAGCACAAACTAACTTGTGTGGGACTTAAACTGAACATTCTTGCACTTAGGCATTGCAGAACTGACCTTAGCTAACCACAAGCCATAGCATTTTCCAGAAGGACCACTACCCTTTCAGCCAGGCCCCCTTCCTAGAAACTCATGACACCATGCACTCATCTTCAGACAGCTCTGCAAGGATGGTCTTTGGCTCATTTTAATGAGGTTTTCATCCAAGGACTAGAGACCCTGACATTGATTTTCTGATTATTTTAATTCATTTTGAAAATTCGTCTGTGACAATTAAGGCTGATTCATGCTTCACTATCATAATCTAAGAACTGCTATAAGCATAAATAAATGCCACCACACTTTGTGTTTTCACTTATGATGCGTAAAGCAGGCCAGCAAGAGCTACATGGGATCCTAAAGGTGAGGGAATAATTAGGGGAAGATGGTGACAAGAGAAGCAATGGGTTGTATTCCAAAATGTGTCGTAACATTTCTATTTTTCTTGACTTCAGTTCAGCTTGAGTGAAAACTATACCGCCTCTGAAGGATATTTCACAGACTTATTGCTGTCCATCCCTGAAGTGCAGTTACAAGACAGTGGGGAGTATACTTGCATTGGAACCAGTTCTTCAGGATCTCGTAATTCTTCAGCTACCCTCCGGGTGATTGGTGAGCATGTCTCAAGGGACCTCTAGATAAGTGCCGAGAAGGAAGGAGGAAGCTGGCACTCCAGTAGGAATCAGCAGAGGTCCTTGGCCCCAGCCTACTTCTCCCCACCCTCTAGCACACCCCTTTTTCCTCCACTCCAAGGCACATTGGTGACCTCAGGCATGATGGTCATGAGGCCATTACCTCAAGGCAGTAGGCATGATGCTTTCCAGGCTGACTGCAGGCAGGGCAAGGGAGGGGAGGAGCTCAGCCTTGGGAGTCCCATCTTCAGGACTTCAGAGCTATCTGAATATGGAACCTCAGACAATGTCGGAAGGCTACAGTATCGCACCCTACATGTGCTAAGGAGCTGAGAAAGAACAGCATGCAGTGATGCATTTGCAGACATCCCCACACTCTTCTTTGATTTATACATTCTGGTTTCCTTCAAAAGCCCTGCAAATTGATTACTATAAGTACTTGCAGTCTTTTGGATGCAATGCAGTGCTGTCTCTGATCTCTCTTAAAGATTCTTGATCTTTCCAAGTACCTCAGGTTTCCATAAAAGTGTTTTAAATTACACAAACACCCAAATTTCCCCAACTCCCATTTTTTCTATTCAGTTTTAAACAACACTTCTGACCACAAGGATTCTGATTCTTCGATATTTCAGCCAAAGCCTATTTATGCTCTGGTTTGTGCCTTTTCTGTTCCTACCATTATTTTCTCAGAAACAACCCAGACATCATCAGTGTCAGATCACATCTGTCCACTCATTCATCACCTACTTGTGCAAGTGATCAATATGCCTGCGATAAAGCAAATTCTACAAAGCTTGATTGCATTTGTATTTTATCTTTAAATGTATATCCCGTCTTTCCATCAACAGTGACATGTACTGTTGCTAACAATAATAAAATTGAGACTGAAATAAAGTCAATTAAAACACAACATCGAAGCAAATAAATCAACCAGCAGAGATAGCTAATGGGCCATGTCTTTAATAACATTCATAACCTAGCAATCGGACAATATGACTCTCACGCTATGAATAAGGTGCTAATCTAAACAACACAAGAACAGGCCATAGCTCGGCGGAGGGGATCATCCATAGTTCATTGGGGAAGCACGTGCTTTTCATGCAGAGGGTCCCAGATTCAGCCTCCAGCATCTCTGGGTGGAGTGAGGAAAACTCCCACCTGAAACCCTGGAGAGCCACTGCTGCCAGTCAGTGTTGACAACACTAAGCTAGATGGACCAAAGGTCTGAGTCAAAATGAGGTAATTTCCCATGTTTCCTGTATTGTTGGTTCATCAGCACAAAGGTCTTTGGCCTTTTCACACTACTAGACTAGGTGCTACTTCTCAAAAAAACTGCTATTTGTTCAAAATGTCAGAGAAGCTTTAAGTAGGATTTGTCTCAGGGTGCTCTTAGGAAAGAAGCATGTGGGCTGGCAGGAGAACCAGAGGCTGGTGCAGATGCTAATGGAGGACACAGGTGAATGACTCAAGTAGTTCCTCAGAAGTCTTCAGTGTAGCAGTTCAACCACACTTTCCTTCCTTCCTTGGTGGAGGTAAATGCCACAAGTGCAAATGCAGAATTGGAAATACTGCAAAAGGGTCAAGCTATCCCTTTGATCTTGCCTGCCACCAAGGGCGGAAGTCTCTGATGTCCTGTTCAGTTCTGTATCCCTTATGCTTAGCTATTCCTTATCCTGTTCAACCCAGTGGGAAAATCAGAGCAGTCTCCTCAGTCAGCAAGCCCCAGCCTGGAGTTCCCAGGCCATTCTTGGCCACTGGTCATGCTGGCTGGGGCTGATGGCACTTGAAGTCCCAAGCCTCTGGAGGGCACCTAATTGGGGAAGTCTGCTGCAGGCACTGAGTTAGCTGAAAAACTTCCCTGACCTTCCCAGATAGGGCATGATTGCAGGAGTATTGTTCTTCACAGTGCCTTAAAAATACACTTGCCCGATGTACTTGGCAGATGCCAGCCTATTAGATAGCATCCAATAAAATGTTGGCCACATACTCTTTGATCTCATATCTTGTATCTCTGATCTTACTGAAAACTCCCTCCAGTGGTTGTAGGTTGTAGGTTGACGATACATACAAGCATCGTCAACCCAGTGTCCACCTGAGCACCTTTCTCAGAAGTGGGAGATGGGAAATCAACTGAGCAGCACTCAGCTGGGCACCACCACTGCTCCTTTCTGCAGCACCATGCAGCTGATTGCCCACTCCTGCCCCAGAGAACTATAGGGCAAGATGCAGATGCCTCTGACAGCCATGCAGAATGGCAACTGTCAGTGATGGTCTCTGCCATGCAGGTCTCTAGTTCTGGCATTTGTAGCATTATGGATTGCGTTTTCCAGGTCTGGAGGACACACACAGCCATCCTAGTATGCAGAAACCATAGAACAGACTGTTTCTGTTCATGATTTCTGAAGACCAAACGTACCATGCTGAAATACCACAATGGGTCTGGGACTACTGAAGAGACCAATAAATCTAAAACCCCACCGCAACTCATCATGCAAACCCAACCATGCTGTTGTTGCTGATGTTAAACAATTGAGAGTCAGAAACATTTGCTGGTCTATTGTAAATCACCCACAGATCCACTGTTAAATTCAGGTCTACCACCTGGCCACGCCTGGTTCAAGATGCAAAATCCCACCGTGATGCACCAAGGGAGAACTCCAGTGATAATCAGTTGTATCCTTTCCCCACAAGAAAAATGGCTCTCCTTCCACCCACCCTTCGCTATGCAATATTTTTATTCCTTCTCTTTTCAGAGAGTGGCTATTTGCATTTGGCCACCATACAGAATGTAAGCCAGGAGAGAAGTTTGCATAAAAGCCTGAAACTACAGGTGCTCATTGAGGCTTATCCTGAACCTTCTGTGTATAGATGGACACACGTGAGCTCATCAGGAAGCTCGGAGCATTCCACATACACTGGTCAGATGAGTCGTGGCGACGACAACAGGTAAGGAAGATCTGTGCTGCCACATCTTTCCTAACTGCCTTTCCAAATTATGGTTTTGTTGCATAACAGTGTCAGGACCACAAAGACAGCTGCTTTGTACAAATGTAGGGTGGCCCTCCCATGAAGCAGCGTGAAGCCCCAGCCTCTGGCAGAGTGGGAGGAGTGGCAAATCTCATACCGTGTTTCCCCGAAAATAAGACACTGTCTTTTTTTTTTTTTTTTTTGGCTCACAAAAATGCACTAGGTCTTATTTTCGGGGTAGGTCTTGTTTTTTTATTTTATTTTTTAATGTGTACAACAATCCATACTTATTCATGTACAACAGCATGAATCATGTACGTTTGGTATCACTCCACCTGTGATAGGAGTCAGCGCTATAGAGGAAGCATCGACTTATGCAGCTCTGCTCCCTCTGTGGGGAGTGGAGAGAACAGAGCTGCATAAGCATGTTTCTTCCACACAGTGCATTAAGTTAAAGTTAAGTTAAAAAATAAAGTTTAAAAAGGCTCTTTATGTTCCCCACTGGCCCTGGGAATAAACACAGCTAGGTCTTATTTTCGGGGTAGGTTTTATATTTTAGCAAGTACCAAAAATAGTATTAGGTGTTATTTTCAGAAAAACATGGTACTTCCTCACCACTGGGAGTCTCTCCCCCTTGGGTGCCACCCAGGGAGTGCTCCAAAGAGTCCTGCTGGCGGCTGTTCCACTGCAGCAAATGTCCCAAGTGGGGAAGCAACCAGTGCCCCTCTCTGGAGCTGCAGCCTGTTCTGCAGGGCACTCCAGAGGGCAAGCGGTCTGCCTGAAGAAAGCAAAGGCAGCCCAGATGCCTGCTTTGAGCAGCCCTTCCTTACACCCAGGCGTTGTGGAAGGGTTTCCTGGATCTCACCTGTCCTGAGGTGCAATGGCAAGGTGCAGGCATTCTCCAGATAACCACCCCATTGGCGCTGGGGAACAGCCCCCTCTGGACCTGGTCATCTCTCTGCAGAGCTTTCCCCGCCAGCTTTTTATGGATGACATAACTTTGTGGAGACTGGCAGCAGAAACAGACCACAGCAGTAAGGAGGAGGCAGGTGGGAGATGAGAGACGCAGCAGGGAGGAACAGCACATGGTGGGAAAGGAGATGCACTGGAAGCGTGCGTGCGTCCTCCCTCCTCAAGCACCGGGAGATCCTTTGCCAACCCCATGGAAATGGCTTGCCACAGCACTGCATTTCAAGCTGACACTGTATACTTGTTTGTCATGTTACAGTTGTTTGCTTTCTTCCTCTGGGGAACTCACAGCCTCCCCAGAACCCTGCTGAGAAACATACCGTGTCTCATGCTGTGAAGCTTACCCAATTGGGGATTTGACCCCAGGTTTTCCATGCAACTGCCTGCCCATATGGATTAAAAACACCCAAGCTCTGTTCAACATCCATAATCTCCTCTGGCTTATAATACACCTTGGAAGTTTATTTGAGTCACCATTTAGAATGGGAGCTTGAATCTATCTCTCTATACCGCTCCGCGGCCAAACCTCTCTGAATTGTTCAGGCTATGTCTCAGCAGTGTGCCAAACAGTACAGCCAAGAGCCTTGGGAGTTGCTCTCCCATGCAAGCTCACTGGTAGAGCACATGGTTTGCATGCAGAAAGTACCAGATTCAGTCCTCAGCATCTCCTGGCAGGCTAGGAAAGAACCCTGCCTGAAACTCTGGGCAACCAGGCCAGTGTGTGTCAACAATACTTGGCTGGATGGTCCGATTGTTATTGCTATTATTATTAGCCAGTGGGCTGACTCATGAAGAGGAAGCTCTTAAGTTCCTAACTTCAAGTTTGTCAGCTGACTGAAATTAAATTGCCGTCAGTTGTTGATGCATGGCAAAACTTGTTCCTTAGAGCTTTTCAAACACAATGTTTGTATAACTGACTCCAGGTGCCTCAGGCTACAACTCCCAGAATTGCTGACCATCACTGCTTGGAGTTGATAAGCGCTGAAGTCCATAGGGGCACTTTGTATTAAGTGTGCTATCAGTTATGCCTTTTTTCCCTTTTCTGCATGGCCTGTTTTGAAATACTAAGCACACTTGAGCATAAAGCACAGGTTAGAGAAGCACTCTGGGAACCCTCTGTTCAGCCTGCTCCAGAAAAGACATCATGTATCTTTGTTCTCTCTTTTGGAAGGTACAACAATACACTGAATGTGAACTGGACACTGGAAAGAAGTAGTGGAATATATACCTTTTTTGCAGATAATGGTGCAGCCAATGCATCCATTTCTTTCAACCTCTTTGTGAAAAGTAAGTGCTCCATCCACTCAGGTTCTTCCAATATCTTTCCAAGTTCAAAAGAACACCTGGCCTCAGCCAAGCAGCTAAATAAAGTGAAAGCTCAGGCTGAGAGTCGGTGTGGTGTGATGGTTAAGAGTGTTGGACCAGAGATGCAGAAAATCCAGGCCCTCCTCCCGACATGGTCATGAAGCTCCCTGGGTGATTTTTAGCCAGCTATAGACTCCCCACCCAACCTGCCTTACAGGGTTGTTGTTGAGAAGATAACATGGAACTATGTGAGTGGCCTTGAGTTCCTCACAAGAGGGAAAAAGGCTGCATAACATGCAATGTAATAATAATGTAATCATAATAATAATCTTGCTGTGCTTCCTATCAGCAAAGGAAGTGCTCCAAAGCAACAAGACCAGCACATTAATGCCAAAGTAGTTTTGGTTTCACTGAAGCCAAATATCTTCTCAGAGGTAGCTCAGGTAAACAAAGGTAAATTACAGTATACAGGGGCCAAGATACAATGCTGAACTTTATCCTTATCAGATGTAGTCTTTCCTGACGGGGTCTGAAACAATCTACAGGCAAGAGAAACCTTGACTGAGCTCTTGCCTAAATAAAGTGACCACCAACTATAGTAGTGATGGGCAGAAGGTGGAGCTCCAGGTGCTTTGGACTTCAGCTCCCAGAACCTTCTGCCAGTATGACTAGTGGTCAGGGATGCTGGGACCTGGAGTCCCAGTCATCTGGAAATCTACTTTCCACCCTTCCCTGGGCTACAGACCAGCTACCGGCCACTTCTGAAGCCAACAACATTTTATCCTCTTCCCCCATCCTCCAAGTCCCATTATATTTCATGAAATGAGGAAAATGTGTTTACATGATTGCTGGACTTCATGGCTCCTCTGCATTTGCCCTTCAGCACCACCTGAAGTTACCATGATGCCCAACAGCTCCAACAGCCTTCAGTGTAAAGCCAGTGGTTATCCTGCTCCACGCATTGAGTGGTATAAATTGCCCCATGGTAGCCACATGGAAAGGTGAGTTAACAGAATGACTCCATAACCCTGTCCACTCAAAGGTAAGGTCTCCCAGTATGACTTACTCCTGGGTAGATAAGTGTGCCCAGGTGGTGGACAAAAATTCCTCTGGCCAGCAGGAGGTAATCCCTGAATTCCCGAACAATCAAAATCAGGTTCAGGGCAATTAAAAGATACAAAGAGTTTGGGAAAAGAATGAGTTATTCAGGAAAATGGCAGAACATTGGTAAAGTGCTACCATGTTCTTAGCCTTGGGGGCTTTCATATTCCTGTCTTTGGAAGTGATCATCAAATGTCATTGCTGTTTACTGTAGGCTGTTCTGTTCCATCCACTGCAGTATCACTGCTCATTCCTAACAGCATTAGTTCAGGTAGCATAAGCACCAGTCATGCCAGTGCTAAACTCTTGTATCATCAGGTGCTTCATATTATTGTATGAAGTAACTGTTTCCTGGGGGTGGGACAAGGGAAGCTGCAGTCTGGACATAGCCCGTCTGGTCCACTGAGTCCCTAGTAGGACGTCCAGCAGTTCAGGGCAGGTGTCTTAGACATTCGCATAACACCGGGCTACACAACGTTCTGGCCCCAAGGATCACATGTGATGAGATTCTCCTGACATATTTATATCTCTAATCACCTTTGGTTGCCTGGCAGATGCCAAGAGGGTGGAATGCTGCATATGAATGAAACCAGCCCACAGATTGTACATAAAACTGATTTTGGAAGAGTGTCAGTGAAAAGTATCCTTAATGTTGAGGAAATGGAGACCAATCTGTCATTTTGCTGCCTAGCAGTTAATAGTGAAGGGAGTGATTCCAGCTTCAGTACATCACTTCAGCATGTTAAAGGTGAGCTAAATCCAACCATTTCATTGGCAAGGAGTTAGCTTTCCCATGGCAGCTCCTTAAATCCTGGTTGTGGCTGCATTTGCAGACAGTCCCTGGCTTACGAATATCCAAGTTACGAACAACCTGTACTTTCAAACAAACTACCATAAATCCTATTAATTAAAAAAAAAATACTGAAGAGTATTTTTTTTCCCTGATGACCAAACAACATGGGCCAGTCACTTAGCGTTCTATCAGAGAGACATAAGAGATTCGAAAATATAAAATAAACCTCTGCCAAGAAGGTCAGAATGTGTAAAAGATAAGCCTGGGGCCAGTTGGTTTGACACAGAAGTGTAGGTGAAGATAATCACGTACAAAAGTAACAAGATGTTTTTCTGCATGATGTTTTTCTACATCTAATCATTGCAAAAAGCTAAACACCTAGAGATGAGCTCACTCTCTATTGTTAGCATGCACTTACAATAAAGAGTTTTTTAATCTAAAAATTATTTGCTGGTGCTGTTGTCTCTCTCATGGTCAGACAACAAACAAGAGGGATCTACTTTTTCTGTCCTCAACATTACTGTGGAAAATCATCATCGCCATAGAAAGAGAAGGAGTGAAAGGGAGAGAGGAATGCCTCCACAGCATCACCAGAGAGAGGGAGGAAGGGAGGCCTCCAAAGTATGTCTTCCTGCCCTACCCTTCAGGAGAGGGAAATTTCTGCAGCATTCCCCTAATGCAAAGAGGAGAGACTGGTGAATTTGGGCAAGGGGAGTAGAGATACTCACAGTTTGTCCACTTTCACTTTACTCCTAACCTCTGCGAATGTGGAGGCCCAACTATATGTGATCCAACTTACATACAAATTCGACTTAAAGAAAACAAATTGGCTTCTCAGGAACAGAACTTGTTTGTAACCCAGGGACTGCCTGCATATTAAAGGTATAAATGTTTATTATCTGTTTGAATTACATTCAAGTGATTTTAATTCATTAATTTTTTCATTCATTTAATTTTTCACTGATTTTAATGGTAGAGCCAACCATTCTTCGGCTTCTATCTTTGAGGTTTTCCATGCAAATGAAGTAATCAAATACCTGAAAAAATCTGGATGGAAAACACCAAAGTTGTAGACATTGGAAGGTAAGCCAAGTCTTCCACTGAAGCCAATAAGAAATGAAACAGGAAAGTCAAAATGAATGGGAAGCAAATGGATTTCTATTTGGAATTCATTCTTTTCCATTCCATTTCCATTTTGGTAAGCAAATGGGGCTCATTTGTTTTATTTTGTTTTCCTTTTAAAACAGATACATACCTCTAATTTGTAATGTCAGTTGGAGCTGTTGTTTTTTTCAAAAAATATTGAACACAGTACTCTTTTTAATGGAGAAAAGATAAATTCTATTTTTATTTATTGAATTTCTTAGTCTTTAAAAAGACCCAAGGCACCTTACAAAAACATTAAAACATACAAAATATAAAACAGCGAGGACAATTTCCACTAAAAACCCAAACGTATGAATGAATGAATGTTTAATTCAGCCTTTTCCAAACCTGGCTTGCTCCAGAGACTTTCAGCTCCAACTGCCCAAAGGCCTGGCCAAAAGGTCTGTTTTCGGAGGGCTGGTTTAGTTGACTAAAGGTGTTGGGAGCAAGAGGGGTGGCAGGCTGGGGCAAGCGTTCCCGTGTGGTACTTTGCCACTGATTCAGTTCGAGTGCTAAGGAATGCCTCAGTGAGACTGGGGGGCAGGATCTGGCTCAAAGTCCTGTGATACAATGGGGTGGGGGAGGCAGAGGTCATTAGAGCAAGGGCAGAGCCTGCAAATGGAGTGAACATACAGCCAGTGGGAGGGACGACTCGGGATGAGGAGCTCCCAGGCATGGAGCAGTGCCCTCTCCCTCAGCTGAACCCTGGGGCAAGGCACCAGCAGAAGCAAGGGGCCCAATTAGGTGAGCAGCTTGCAGAAAGGAGGCGGGCCTGCCTTCAGAGAGCCCCTCCCATGCAGCCAGGGCACAGGTGCATTCATAAGGCGAGTTCTTGGAAGTAATCAGTAGATGGGGTTCAGCAAACCACTCTGTGCATGCTTAGAGATCTGGTCTGTGTGACTTGTACTAGAAGCAAAAAGAGCGTTTGTAAGGAAAATGGACTGTGGCTTGTGTTGGTTCGAAGGAGGAATATCAGTTCTTGGCAGGAGTTCATGTAATGCAGTCAGTCTTCTGGAGCAGGGGTGGAGGGGACGATACTAAATGAACTGCTATGTGTTTTACATAGCAAAGGGAAAAGGAAGCTGGATTTACCCTGCAGAAGGGAAAAATGTGCTATCTGCTGTTCTAAAGTTGTGGTTGTTTGTACCCTAAAGGACTGAGGACTAGGCAGCAGTGCTCTTCAGTGTGTTTAGGAATGATGGACCTATGCTTCAAGATTATCTTAATCTCCCTCTTGTTGTTCTAGGGGAAATCGGGTACCCCAGACCACTTATTACAGCTTTTGCAGGAACGATGATTTTTCTTATTCTGTGTATCATCATCTTAATCTACAAATACAAACAGGTCAGATTTGTGTGAGTTGTCTGTGTGGAAATGAAAGTAGCCAGAAAAAGGTTCCAGGGTCTGAAGGAAGCTCTGAAACTCTACCACTGCTGCCCTTTACCTACTTTGGCTAAGTCCCATTAAACCTTTAACTGTTAAAGTCTATGTAGCTTTCCCTCCAACTTCCATATTTTACTTGCCTTTCTGATTCCTTTGAAGCCATCTCTTGCTGGCTCAGACAGTGATTCTCAAGCAACCTCATTTCACCATCATTCTTCACTTTCCCATAACAAATGCATCTGTAGGCCAGAAAAACCCATCCTCTAACCTCCCTCCCTCTACTGCAAGAGCCATTCTCCAAGATATGGCACTGTTCAAAGTAACATTTTTGTTCCATGAGGTTTTTCCTATTCTGGAAATTCATAGAAATACTATTACCTAGATCATATATGCAGATGTCTCCCCCCCCCCCCCCCCCACACACACATTGAAGAAAGGAGCAATCAGGAAAACATCAGATGCTCCGCATCCAAGGTGTAGCAATGGGAGTTTGAGACAGTGCTGCTGCTACTGCTACTGCTGTGCACCAGCACCGGCCTGGAGAAATGGAGCAAACGCTAAGAGACCCACATCAGCTGGGAAAATGTGTAGCCATCCAGGCACCCAATACACCCTAGAAGAGTGGCCAGATTGTTTAGCCAATCAAGTTGTTTGAAGAGTTATGCGGGACAGGAGACAAGGCTCAATGTGGGGCTTCAGATTTTTAGGGGCCCCCAAATCTCTGAAGGAAATGAGATTGGCCCTGTATAAAAGTACAGCCAAGACAGTATTTTATTCATAGGGTATTTATATTGTTAGAAATATTTACAGGGATAAGACAAGTCCTGGCTGATGAATAGGTTGCTTAATCCACAGTGTGAAGGAACATCTTGACCTGAGCAAACAGCCAGGGTCTGCCATATGCAAAAGAAAAGATCTGATCACAAAGGTCTCTCTGCCCGATTTTAGAAGACCCCCTTGTGTCCTTGCACGGCAGCTCACCCCATTCCATGTGTTCTCCCCTCCCCCACCCTCCGCATGGCATGTTCGGGGAACTAAAAGAGCTGGCATGTGTGGGGAAGAATAAAGAAGTCCCCTTCACCAGGCCAGATTTTTTGCATCAATCTGGATCCAACATTTACATTTTTAATCCCATGCAGCCACATCTGATCACTGGACTTTTGACCAGCTTATTATGACTTGGATTTCAGCCTGAGGGCCTATACGTCCATGGGCTTCTGCAAGCCTAGATCTGGGCTGGGATTTTTGCTGTCACTCGCAATATCTGTGGAGCAAAAGATGGGAAGGTTTACAGACCACCCCAGGCACATTTTCTTGTAAGGGAGACCCACTAAATCATGTGGGACTTACTCCCAGGTAAAATGCATCAGAATGCAACCCAAAATTGGATGGATAAGACTGGGCTTTGTCTCTACAGAACCAGGCAAAGATGTTATGAAACAATGTATGTTAGATTAATAGATTTCTTCGTTTCTTCACAGAAACCAAAGTATCAAGTTCACTGGAAGATCATTGAGGCCCAAGAAGGAAACCATTACACCTTTATTGATCCTACCCAGCTTCCTTACAATAAGAAATGGGAATTTCCTAGGAATAACTTGCAGTTTGGTGAGCAGCAATGCTAGTAGTCTGACCCCTGGTTATTCAATCCACCAACTTTGGTCAATGGTCGAAATTACTGACCTGATGCAACATTATCTTACTTTTGTGTCAGATTGTACCATTTGTTTCCCTTGCAATGCTTTGAAATTTCCAGCATTGGCAAAATGATGCGACCTAAGAACCAACTCTTATTTACAAGCAAGCAGTAGAAGATACATTACACAGAAGGGGTCATATTGGTCTAGAGGGGCAAAAAACCCACAAGGCTGTGAGTAACAGAGAAATAACAGAACACGTACGGCATAAAAACTGCCTCCTGTTGTTCACTACAGACTTTGCCATGGTTCACTCTGGCTTGTTCACCCCTCAGAGATACTGCTTGCATTCTTTCAAGTCCCTGTATACCTGTGCATTCACAAACATGAATAAGAACTTATTCAATCTATGTCAAAAATCCGTCTTAATTCTAAGCCCTATATTTCATTTCACAGGGAAGATCCTTGGAGCTGGAGCTTTTGGGAAGGTGGTTGAAGCCACAGCTTTTGGGCTGGGAAAGGAAGATACTGTTACGAAGGTGGCAGTGAAAATGCTAAAATGTGAGTCCCAAGCTGGCACGAAAGCATCCTACAGACACAAGAGAGTGCATGATTGCGTGCCTCCACAGCCCATGCAGGTGGTATGTCCTCCTATTCCAGTAGAGAGTTTCACACAACTGAAACACAACTAACTACTGGAGCTCCCAAAGGTCAATGCAGTTGTGTACAGGATTACCAATCAATCAGGTGAAAGCTGTACATTAATTCTCTTCCCTATAGTTATGCAGAAGTTGTGATATACTCATTTAGGACTGAAAGTTTACGTCCAGAGGTTCTTTAATTTGAAGGCTGATTCTGAAAGTACAGCTTGTCAAGTACAATATTTCCTTTCGATGTGACAAGAGAACTACAGCTGACTGAAAACAAAACTCCTTTCATGTAACTCCTAAAAGTTTAGGAGACCTCTCAAAGATTAAAACTAGCAAATGATATGCATATTCTATTATTCAGAACTGGGTTTTGGCCTAATGAACATTTGCATCATTTAAACTGTGTAACAAACCATTTTTATCAAAAAGGATTTATTCCTATATATTTCATACAACAAACTGAATATTTTTGGACATTCAAATGTACAGTAAAAAAAACTAAACTCAAATCTTGCACGTTTAAGAAAAGTTAAGCATTCTTTTTATTGTCCTTACCATTGATAAATGTTTCAGTTATTAATACACCATCCTCAGTATGAGAGCTTCAGAGCCTCTCCATTCATTGGTTGCATTCACACAACACAACAACCAACCCTACATAGTTACCATGTTGCAGACAATTGAGTGGTTCCTACTTCATCTTGATTTCCATTCTATCTGCTCAGCCCTCCCATGATTGGTATGTATCCCATCAGCCACTGTACATGTAATTCAATCCCAAGGTGCATTACTCACTGCCTGTCACCTGCCTCTTCCTCATTGGTCCACACATAGAGCCTGAATAGCTAGAATGACTCCTGGAGTTGCAACTATTTCCAGAGGACTCTTTGGTAGTTGCATACCAAGACCATGGAAACCATGATCCTTGGTTCACACAACATGACAAGCTGTGGTGGTAAAGATAAATCACAGAACAAAATGTTGTTTCTATACATGGTTTTTAAAGACCAAACTTGCCATGGTGAAATACCATGACCGGGTTCAGACAATACAACAGACCAACAGTGGTTATAAAAACCCCTGACTTGTGTTATCCAAACCTAGTCATTGAAATAAGGTTTGAAAGAGATGGCAAAAAATCTGCAGTATCCAATTATAAAATTAAAATCCAACAAACGTTTCTAATAAAATTCGTTCTCTAGAAAATTACACAGACCAATTCAGATCTAGGATTTTTATTTATTTATTATTTATTTATTTAAAACATTTCTATGCCGTCCCATTCGCCGAAGCCTCAGGGCGGATCACAACATAAATTATAATAAAATACATTAAAAATATAAAACAAATTAACAATATAAAATAAGCCGCCCTGGCCTAGGATGAATGATCTCTTTGAAAGTGTGGCTGTAATTGAAATAAAGATGTGCATCAGAGTGTTTTGAACAACAATAGTTTCCATGTTAGTCTCAAAGACATAGTGATGCATTACAAATAAAACTATCTTCTGAGTGTCACAAAGCTCTTAAATGTGTAGTTAAACTTTTCTATGCAATACCAGGTCTCTCTTCCTAAGCCCAAATTCCCAGCATGACATTGATCTGACAGGGGCAAGAGTCTTTCTCTCTTTCTTTCTCTCTTTCTTTCTCTCTTTCTTTCTCTCTTTCTTTCTTTCTTTCTTTCTTTCTTTCTTTCTTCTCACACACAGTTTGCCTTCACACACACACACACACACACACACACACACACACAGTAGTGGCCAAGACAAATGAGGACTTTCCACAGGTCGGAGTTTCCCATTCCCTGTTCTAGAACATACCAATCTTGGGCAACAATTCTCTAGAGTTCTTTTTGTCCTCTCTCATCTCAGCTATTGCATTTATTCCATCTCTCTCTCTTTCCCACACCCATCTCCATGTTAGACTTTAAATATAATTCTTCTTACTTTATTTCAGCAACAGCACAGACTGATGAGCAAGAAGCCCTTATCACAGAGCTGAAGATCATGAGCCATTTAGGGTACCATGAGAACATTGTCAACCTGCTGGGAGCCTGTACTCATGGAGGTAACAGAATGTTCTGGCAGCACTCTGCTTCCCATCACTCCTCTGCTGATTGTCCCATCCCTCTCTTCTCTTCTTTTTTCTGCAATATCTCTACTATAATAGATTATAATCACTACCAGATTATAATCAAGATTATAGTCACTACTTCAATTAAATACTAATTTTCTAAAATGCTAGCTCCAAATGTTAGACACCATATCTAAAGATAATAAAAGCAAGAGGAAATTAAATTATATCATGCTGAATATTTGGGGTGGCCTAACTTGAAAGGCTATTTATAGGAAGTCATTTTACAGGACCAAACATTGAACTCTCCTTGTTAAATGTTTCAGTCCAGCAAAGAATTGCTCCCTATGATTCTAAAGTTATTAGCTATTACCTTGCAGAAACTGGTAATGTTCATTTTCTGGTAATCTTCACTTTCTGCTTTCTAGGCCCTGTTCTTGTCATTACGGAGTATTGTCCTTACGGTGACTTACTGAATTTCCTGCGAAAGAAAGTGGAGTGTCTCATAACCCAGGATGTAATTTTGGAGTCTTCTCTTGATAGCACGGCACCTGACTATAAAAATATTTACCTTGGGAAGAAATATGTCCGAAGGTAATATCTGAACACAGTCAACACAGTCATCACTCATCACCGACCCACCCCTTCTTAAGAATCACATTAACAATTTGTCAGTACTATCAAATAATTTCTTGATTTAAATGAATAACAAGCAAGCAACTGATAAGATGGAGTGGCCCTATCTATTTGAGATTATTAATAGACTTAGGCACAAACTCATGGCTGGCAGTTGCTGCCTGGTCAGCCATAGAAAAAGGTAAACTCCCCACTGGAACCTTGGAAAAATCTTCCAAGGTTGCAGTAGGGTCTCTGCCTTCCGAGGCACCCTCCTCCACTAGCAAATGTAAAACCATTTGCAAGCCAGGCACTGGGGGAGTGTTTTCAGGGGAAGGGGAGTACATCCACAAAATCGAGGCAGTGTCTCAGCCCCTTCAAAATTGGCTATTGAACTGCTTTTGAGGGCAAGGGGAGCACAGAGGCAATCCTTGTGTCTGTGCATCTTCTGAAATCGGTTGGATGCCCATAACCTTCTGAGTGTAGAAGCTTACAGGCAGCCAAATAGGGTTTCATCCTTCACCTGGATTAAGAGCTAAGTAGTCAGAGTCAAATGTATAATGGTATGTCTAAAGTGATGTTCATGAGCTTAAGTCCAGTCCAATTACCATGGACAGAGTAAAAGCAGTTTTGTACTTTCCTCAAGTCTTCTGCTTTCTCTGCATGAACCTGACCCTTTTCAAGTGTAATTGCTATTCAGCAGGCTGGACTTAAGCTGGAGGCAGTCAGAGGCTAACCTGTTAATAACTTTTCACTCTGATTCAGTGACAGTGGATTTGGAAGCCAGTGTGTGGACAACTATCTGGAAATGAAACCAGTGTTAGCAAAAGGTAATCAAGATTGATTCTAGTCATAATGACAGTTTCTTGTGGTTTAGAACTGCTGCTGAGGTTTTTACATGATGGAAGTTTGATTCTTGGTGTGTGTGTGTGTGTGTGTGTGTGTGTGTGTGTGTTTCCCTTAAAGGGAGATCAATGTCACATCTGTGATGTAAGTTAGCTGATAAATAGACTGGCCTGATGCCCCTAAGGAAGCTTAGTAACTGAAGGCTGAATTTGTGACTGAAGGAAATTTGAATTCAAATCTCCTTGATCTTAATCAATATGCTAGCCAATAAGTACTCTGGTTCATGTCATTTGGTTACTTATGCAATAGGGAACCCCTCCCCGCCTCCCCCATTTTCTCATGGTTCTAGAATTCTAGGATCATCCCATAAAGCTGAGTGGTGGGAAATTCAAGGCAGACAAAAGGAAGCAGTCTTCCACCTAACACATAGCTAAACTATGGAATTCACTTCCACAGGATGTAGTGATGACAACCAGCCTGGATAGTTGTCAAGAGTCTTAGACAAATTAATAGAGAATAATTATGTCAATGACTACTAATTATTGATGGTTATGGGTGGGTTCACAAAGCATTACAGGCAATGGAGGTAATGCTCTGTCACGTTGTCTGAACCCTTTTTTGCTCTGTTACATTGTCTGAACCCATTGTGTATTTCAGTAAAGTATGTCTGGTTTTGAGAAACCACGAACAGAAGCAGTGGGCTATTCTATGGTTTCATGGTACCATGATTGCTTGTACTGCTGCCCAAGCTAGAAATGTATAGTAGCACCACTAGCATGTTATAGGCAGCATAGCAAGAGGTTGCTTTTGAACTCCTGTCCTGCTTGTAGTCTTGTAATAGGCATCTTACTTCCACAGTGTATTATTCTTAGATAATATAATTATCTGAATATTGGTCTAGATAATCCTTTAGTCTGATCTGGTTCTTGTGTCTTTTGTATCATGCTGCCTATGCTTTTACAGGCAGCAACTGATACTCAAACATCATTTGGTGTTCCAGTAAACTGGAAACGATTTCATCTGGAAGCACTTGAGAACTATCTGAGATTAACTAAGTCTTTGTAGAGTGTAAAGATATGTTGTGGGCTTAAAGGTGTGAAGCAGCTGACGGAAGAGCTGAAGCACAATAACCTGGTTCACACGACACAACAATCCACCATAGATAAAACATGTTGTACCACAGCAATGAGTTCTCAGGGTAGATTGTTGACAAAACTTCTTGACAAGCGTTGATTTCACCCCCAGTGGTTTGCGGTGTCATCCGAAACCAGGTGAAGGTGAGGTGCTTTGGCAAAACTAGCAAAAGCCCCTGACCACTCTTGGTGACCTAGCCCAGGCTGCTGCCAGTGACATCCCTTCCAAAGTGCCCAAGGGGCACATCACACATGTTATCACTGGTTGGCCACCCCTTGCTTTTTCTTTTATACTCCAAATGTGCACATTTCTTCCTTTCTTTTTATTTAGAGTTGCACAAGTTTGGAGGTGGATGCTTCCATGGGGCTGTAATAGGAAATCTCCCTGGGTAATGTCCTGACAGTTAGTTGCTGTCAAAATGCAGCAGGTATCAACCCTAAAGATTGACCTGCAGAGCCTTTAAATTGGACAGAAGGGAGGTTCCATTTTCCTGCCCCCTGGCAGCTATAAGTATGTAAACTGTCAAAGAAAGCAAAAGGTGCAAAGGATCTTTGCTTGCAAAAAGAAGGTGGCGAGTTCTATGCCTCTTTGTGACAAAATCCTTATCTTTTTTCCCCTTTTTGTCCTGACTGTTCAGAAGGTACTGCTCATTTTGCACTTTTCTCCAAGTCTCTAACTACTTTGGGAAATGCAAAAGTGCAACCCATCCCGTTTGTTTGTTCGTTTGTTTGTAAAAAGATTAGGATACAATTTGGGTTCCCTGAAAATTCGGTTTTGACAGAATACTGGGTGATTTTTGTTAGGGTGATATGCAAGTCACTGCTGCTGCAGAGTCCTCTGGGATATTGGCTGGAGGACAGGAGGGAAGAGCAACCCACAGTGAAGCTAGTCATCTGTTGGATTTGCTCTGGGTTGCTAGTTGTCCCCCTGAAGTTCAAAACACCGGAGTAATTCATGCATTGTTCTTATGCATTATGCATTATTTATCAACCAGCACAGATGTGCAGCCTCCAGGATCAGGGTTCTTGTACCTTATGACCATTTTTTAACACTGACATCTAAATAACACAGCCAGGTTTGTGTTTTGATGAGGAAATTAATTTTTAGATACACATATTCTCCACCTTGGAATCCTATAGAAAATCAATTCATAAATGATGCTACATTATGTACTTTGTAATCAAGAATCCACTCCAAATTACAATATTACAAACCATTCCTCTTAGCTACAGGAATTATAGTAACTTCCATATGTAGGCCAATTGTGATTGAACAAAGAGAGGTTTTCCTTCTACAAAAAAGTTTCTGCTTTGATCCTATACCAGGTACAGTGGTTAGAGTGTTGAACTGGGACTCAGGCGATCCAGGTTCTAGTCCCCACTCATCCATGAAGCTCCCTGAGTGACTTTAGGCCAGTCACAGACTCTCAGCCTAACCTAACTCACAGGGTGGGGGAGGGGGAGGAGATTGGATGGTAGGGAGGAGAACCTTGTAAGCTGCCTTGGGTTCCTTGCAAGAAGAAGGAAGGCACAATATAAATGCAATACAATTTTAATAAATAATACTAATACTCAAAAATGAGCCCCACTGCTTTCAGTGGGACCTACTCTTGGGTACATCTATAGCTTTCCATGGATGGATACATCCATCTATTGTATACACATATCTTTAGTTCACAAGACCACCTCTCTTTCTCATGATGTATCTTTGTTAATGTCCCTACCATCCCCGTGTTGGGGCTATTGTTCAGCTTAAGCATCTTTTTAAAATCTCACTAGAAAGATGTCTTGTGTTGATCGCTATGAGCGTTTCCCCATTCCAGGAAGGAGCTCAGTGTCAGGAGAAGAAACAGAAGACAGCCATATTCTCGACCTGCACGACTTGCTGCTGTTCTCCAATCAAGTGGCTCAGGGAATGAACTTCCTTGCCTCAAAAAATGTGAGTGGACTCCCCCACTGATAAACAGCACCAGTCTGTTTAGAATATGGCAAGAACCAGCAAGAGAAATACAGGTAGTCATCCTGTGATAAGTCGAGTTCAGCCTCCTGTGCAGAACCCACAGAGCAGTCTTGTCATTACTCCGTAGGAAACAATTATGAGCAACCTGAACAAAGAGCTTTCACCCAAGCCTAATGCTGCACATGCGCAGCAGCTGGGGTCTGTGAGTGGGCAGCTCTCTTGGATAACCACAGCCGCACTGGGACTGCTTTTCAGACAGGAAGGAAGCAGGGAACAAGATGCAGATCGCTGCCCTGACCAGCGTGACTGGGTCTATCCCACTCCTGCCTGGGGCTGTTTATGCACGGTTCTGGCCAAAGAGCTAGATCACAAATCGGGACGCTTGTCAAGCCTTGCCATAAAGATGGGGCGGAAGAAGTTCCAAGTGGGTAGCTAGAACTTACCTGGTATCCTTTTTCAGTGGTTGCCCCTAAGCGGTGGAATGGTCTGCTGGAAAGACGCATCTGATTCCCCCAACTGCCACCCTGAAGAGGAAATTAAAGACGTATCTCTTCTGACAGGCTTTCCCAGATTAGTTCTCATGTCATTTTTATTTAATATATTGTCTTAGTCAGTTTTAATCACAGTTGATTATAATTTCTTGTAAATCTGCAGGAATGGGGTAGTATATAAATATTAAAATAAAATAAAATCAATAGTAACAAGGTGGCCAAGCCTGTGCTGTTGGTTGTCCCTCATACCATACAATTGTGCAACAGGCTCAAAGTGGGTCTTAAGCCCTTATGGAGCTGAATTCAAGCCTGGAGTGGGCTTTGGATGCAGTCTTGGAAAAGTTAGGATCATTAAGCTCCCATTGCCCATTTGCCAAACTCAGAACAGGTTTTGTTGTGAGGGCAAACACAGCCTAGGTAGAAAAGAATGCAAATTCACAATATAAAATTATTAAAGCATACTGCCATGTTTCAGTTAGAAACAGGTTCACAGGGTTATAATTCACAAACAGTGATGTTCTGCTTTATAAGACTTCTTTTTTTCCTCTTTGGAATGCTCCTTCACACAAGTTTTATCTTCCCTTTATTAGCATAGCAGATGTTCTGTTTCTCCATTACAAAATAAATACATTCAGTTATTTTTCTTGGGCTCCATAATGAAATTTAGGATTGAAAAATATTGAAGCAAAAGATGGAATGAGTGTGGGTCTGCCCAGCCATTCAAGAGGAGGTCTCACAGAAACAAGAGAACATCCTAAAGGCTAAAACCACTTCTCACCGAGGTAGTAAATTTGTGTTTGAGCAGTACCATTTCAGCCTGCAGCTGGTAGCACATATGGCCCCATGCCCCTCTGTGTGTGCATGCATGTATATATAGGTATAAAATTCAGTACGTAAGAAAAAGACTAGCATAATAGGGAGACGGCTAGAGTAGATCCCCTTCTTCCTGGCAACAAGCCTTATATATGAAAAGGATTCTTAACTTTATTTTGTGCCCAGAGAAATGTTCCACTGTGTGAGGCCTCCACATGCAGGTTTTTAGATTAGAACATGCTCTCATAAAAGTCAGAGAGAGACAGAGAGAACAAGAAGCTGACATTTATTTAGATTATACCAATGACTTAGCACACAGATATTGGTGAATTTTGACAGAAGTGAATCTGTTTGTGTATGCAGCACTTAGGCCATGCAGAAAGAGAGGCCTAGCTTGCCCCTGGAATTCAGTGGCAAGCACCTCCATGAGGCGAAGTAGCGCTAAAACAGACCGATGGAGCTTGTTTGCTTATTTTATTCTTTCTTCCAGTGTTAAGGGACAGTGGGGGATGAGAGACATCCCTTAAGTGGTATTCTGTCCACCCCTGATATAGCTATAGAGATGCTGTAGGACACCATGAACAGTGTTTTTAGTGGGTGCTTCCTCCTATTCCCTAACACACACCAGGTGTACCACTGCCCCATCTTCCTATCTGAATTGTACACATTTCTTCAGTGGCTGAAGTTCTAGGAGGGAGGCACAAAACCCTAGATTTAGAAGGCAAGGATATTAGCCCTCCCACCCGTTCCAGTAATAAGGAACTGAAAGTGACTGTTGGATTTTCCAACCCAGCATGTTATAAATATAATTGGCAAGAACAATTGCACCAACTCTTCACCATAGAATGTCCTGCTGACAGCAGGGAAGCCTGAGGGCAAGGGCACTGGCTTCTGCAAAAGAACAGCTCTCTTTTTAAGTCTGTACAGTTAAAAAGATTGCACAAGTGGCATGCAGTTAAGTGGGACACTCCACATATGACTTTCTATAGTTTAAAAAGATCTGAAAAGCATCAGGCAATTAATCCTGTGAGATCATGGCAAATGTAGCCTCAGCATTACAAATATTTATCCTTAGTATTTTGACAGTGCCAGCCTTCAAGGCAGATAATCCTCTTGATACGGTTTACCAAATTAGCAAGAACAATTTGAGCATATAGCCAACACATACGGTGTGATAGAAAAACCAAAGCATAAAATGCAAACCCAGGCCAGCAAGCCAGCAGAAAAATGACTTAAGATACAAATATCCAATTGCCTGGAGGCCAACAGCTTGTGGGAGACCAAGTTCAGTGCATGCAGCCTTCAAGACACAACCACCTCTGTGTCTGCTGACTTGACGAAGCATAGTTTTGGCATTTGTGCTGCATGTGGATATGTCAGCACAACGTATGGCTGGTCTTCCGCATGTGGTGTCCAAAATACACCATCATCCCACCTGTGTGGCTAATGGCAGTGCTGGCTGGAATCGTGAGACCACAATACATTAACAAGAAGCACTAGAGACCAGGGGTAGGAAGCCTGATGCCTCCAGACATTATAGACTACAACTCTCATGCTCCCTGGCCATGGACCATGATTTGACCTTATGGGAATTGTCCAAAATATCTGGAGGACACAAAGTTACCTGGCCCTGTTCTACAGAGTGTACCTTGACCCCAGAGTTCCAGCCTGGCTGCCCAGATGGATCAAATCATACATAAATACCATGCTGAGAATCACCTACAAACTGGGCTGAGTCTGGCACCTCCACTATCTCGCAGGATTAATGCTTCAGTGCTTGTCAAAGATTTTCCAACTATAGAAAAGTTTGGCTGGGCAGGGCACCAGTCCATCTCTATTTCACATCTTTATGGCCATGTGGCAGGAGGAAGCCAGAAAGAACAAGAATAAGCTGATTGGTCATTTATCTTTCCAATCCAGTGCATCCACCGTGATTTGGCAGCAAGAAATGTGCTTGTAGCTGATGGACAGATAGCCAAGATCTGCGACTTTGGCCTGGCGAGAGACATTATGAATGATACAAACTATGTTGTCAAAGGCAATGTAAGTAACTGAGAGGACTGCAGTGCCCTTGGCAGCTTCCGCCAAGGCAGGCCACTAGCCCTTTTAGCTCAGGCTTGCCTACACCAGCTGGCTGACTAGGAGTAGCAGCAGCCCCTCTCCAGGGTTCCAGCCACAATTCTGTCCAAGCCCCACATGGAGATGCCCAGATTGAAGCTGGGTCCTTTGGCATGCAGATGCTTGACCTGCACAAAGTTCCAGTCCTTGCAGTCCACGGGGTCGGCGAAGTTATGTTTAGATTCTCCTGGAGAATCTGAACCAAGAGGGAAATTCTGCTGGAGCCTACTGAGCAGAAAAAAATATAAATATTTCAAGCCAATAAGATGTTTCCGACCTGAATAAAGGTGTTGTCGTTCCAGGCTCGCTTGCCGGTGAAATGGATGGCACCAGAGAGCATCTTTGAATGTGTTTACACGGTACAGAGTGATGTGTGGTCCTACGGCATCCTTCTCTGGGAGATCTTTTCCCTAGGTATGGGAGGAACCAGTGGTCTGTCCATCTCTACCAGTTTGCCTGGAAAGGCCTTAGTCAGAAATGGGGTTTGAGAGAAAAATGGATCAGAAAACCAGACCATAATGCAGATTTGCAGCACGACCCCTTTGTCAAAACAAGCCTCAGATCTGTGGAGAAAAAGAATACCAGGCTATTTAAAAAGGTGGCTGGCCTGACACCAGAAATTGGTAGATGTGGATGGGGGAAAACCATGTTCCTTAGAAGGGGGAATGTGATCAGGGGATGCTGGACAGCCAGATTAGGTCAGGCTTGGCCTGCAGGCACAACAGCCCCATGTTAAGGCCTAAATCAGTTAAAAGGCCCACCATACACCCACAAAGACACAGTGCCACCACGTAGGAGCCTGGCAAGAGGCCTTAGCCGCTGTGCTGCTCTCGTCTGTAGGCCCAGTGTGAGGTGAAACCCCAAATCCCCTGTGTGAGTTAGCCTTCAATACACCCACCTCTTCAACTATCCCTCTGCTGTGCCCAAACAGCCCAGAGGCTTGTTCTCCTCGGCCACATGGGCCCCTAAGAAACTAGAGCTTGACCTACTTCAGAGACAGGATGGTGCTCAGCCTTGGCTCTAATGAAGTGCTGTTCTACTCCTTACAATCACAGGCCGGAGCCCTTATCCTGGCATGAAAGTGAACAGCAAGTTTTATAGCATGGTGAAGCAGGGATATCACATGGGCATGCCAGAGTTTGCTCCACCTAAAATGTAAGTAAAGGGGTTCCAGTACTCCAAATGTTGCAACTGGTGACACATTAGGAGCATTGAAGGAAGTGAGGGAAGCTTGATGTGCATGGAGACATGGTGCCAGAACTCCAGGAACTCATTTGTGATGAGTGTACCTTGCTGCTATAGATCCCACACAGATGCTCAGATTCATTTCAAAGTCTGACAATTAGTGCTCAGTATTGAACTGAGAAGGGACTGCAGGTGGCGCAGTGGGCTGGTTGATCGAAAGGTCGCCAGTTCGAATTTGCACAACAGGGTGAGTCTCGTTGCTCCGTCCCAGCTCCTGCCAACCTTGCAGTTCGAAAGCATGCAAATGCAAGTAGATAAAAAGGTACCACTTCGGTGGGCAGGTAACAGCGTTCAGTGCACGTCGGTGTTTAGTCATGCTGACCACATGACCACGGAGACTGTCTGTGGACAAACGCTGGCTCCTTCGGCTAGGAAACGGAGATGAGCATCACCCCCTAGAGTCAGGCATGACTGGACTTAATGTCCTTTACCTTTACCTATTGAACCTACCGACCGACCAACCACCCCCAACCAGTAAACAATTAAACCAACTGCCTCCAAGCCTGCATCCTACCAGTCTTGGCTATGCTAGCTGGGGATGATGGGAGGCATAGTTCAGTACATTTGGATGGTGCCAGACTGAGGAAGACTGACTTGGATATAAGGTAACTTCTAAATATTCTCCCAGTCAGCTAAAACCCATTTCAATGTGACTGCATTTCATGCACTGAGAGAATGTTTGAAAATGATCCAGAAAGAATAGCCTATAGTTTAGTGGCATTGCTGAATACCTCCTTCCCATTGTGCACTTCTTAATAAAAGCATCACATTTGGCACAGACTAGGTAGACAAATCTAGATTCTGGGCCATCAGCATCACTCTTGATGGTCATGGCAGCCAGTTGGCACAGTGGCTACCTGCAGCAACTTCTCTGTTGAACAAATATAAATTATTTTACAATGTTTATATAACAAAAATATAATAACACAAGTTAAATACATGCAGCCTAAACTGACATAGCCTATTATTGATATATCTCATCAAAATGTCACTGAATACAGTGACATTTTGCAGGTTCCTAATGCTTCCTAATCGAAAGGAAGCATGCAAATAAGTAAATATATAAATAGGTTGCTTTGTATTCTTAATTATGTATTTATACAGTTTTTAAACACAATCCATATTTAGCCAACTAAAGTAATTGAACGAGTGACCATTTTGCTCGATGACTAGGATGGCTACTGGGGACAAATCAGTGGTGGCCCAACACCTTGATTTGGTTATAGTAAGGTCATCTACCTCTGTGCCAGATTTGGTGCTTTTATCAAAAGGTGCACAATGGTATTGCTATGCTACCTCATTATTAGGGAAAGGTAGCATAACATAGAAAAAGGGAGGAGCTGTTACCATTGCAAGGCAGATAGTCCCCATGTCTGTTAGCCCGTTTTCAGGATTTCTGTGCTTAAGACTGTCTATGCAGAAGTTGCCTAATACTAATGAAATGCCCTGAGCTGCAAGAAATGTCTGTTGTTGGCATTTCTGAGAATGCATGTTCCTTTTTTGCATTCTAAAAATGATACAATCCCATATAATCAGGCTTGATGTCAGTGGCATCTCTTTCAGAAGGGAGGAGGCCAATTCTGGAGGCAAGACTCATGGGTGAAGAATCCTAATTCTATAGGAAGAACCCACCTCAGTGTCCCCTCCCTTCTGACCTTAAGGCACAAACAGCATGATCTTATACTGTTGAAAAAAAGTAAGTCCTGCGAAATTCCCTGCAGCTTGCTTCCAGACAAGTGAGTTCAGTATAGCTTAGCACATCTTAGATATTTCCCAGCCTAAGGAATACAGTACTCTTCCTATGAAGAAAGAGACATTAAAAGGACTTTTTTTTAGTACATAAAGGATTGCAACCTAAAGATCACTGTATGACCTGCACTGATCATGCAGTAAAATAATACAGGCCAATAACTACTGAAACATCTTTTGCACATAACGCGGCAAGAATGTGTGATACATGCATGTTTCCCTTTGTCCGTTCCAGATACAACCTTATGACAGCTTGCTGGAACTTGGAGCCCACCAAGCGGCCTACCTTTAATCAGATTTGCACTTTCCTTCAGAAGGAGCTGGATTCTATCAAGGAACAGGTGAGATGCTGGTTAGGCCTGGTGGAGATGTGGGGAAAAGCAACTTCAGGGTCACAGGTTGCCCACCCTGCTTCAGTATTGGTTGAATATTTATTAGTTCTCAATCAAGGTCAGATAATTTCTATTTAAGTTACATTAATCGTAGCATCTGGCTATCTTGACATCCAAAGAGCATTCAACACACTCCCCATCAGCTCAGGGATGGGGGAAAAATGGCGTTTCAGATGCTGGACAACTCCTATGGTGGCTGGGACTGATGAGAACTGGAGTCCCGCAACTTCTAGCAACATATCACCTGCCATGAATTCCAGTCCCCCTGTGATCCTCTCCCTTCGCTACCCCTCGTCTCTGCAGTGGCTGCAATGGTGGTGGGAAAGAATTACATTGTGTGTGGGTGGGGGGCGGGGAGATTTAGGGAGGAAGGAAGAGAGAGAATCCACAAATCTAGGGGGCGGACAGGGAGAGAATAGAGCAAATGAGATAGTGGGGAAGAAAAGTAAGAATACTACTCGTAAAATGAAATGCATTCAAAGACTGCAGGACAAATGTGTCCTTGGGCAGGAAAAAAAAAGACAAAATGTACATGTGGCCAAACTGTAGAGGGCTACAGTTTTCCCCAATCCTGTTCTCAATTAGCAAGTTGTAGGATTTGCACCATACTGAGCATACACCTAACATATTCAAAAATCGAATAGAACCAGTCCTGTCCCCCCACCCCCTGCCTCCATTCAAATACATAGTAGAAAAGCTAAACTCACTTTCCTACTTCGAATTTCCAGAGAATGTTTGTTTTGTTGGATTAAGGATCTTCAGGGTTTTGTAGATCGTATATAAGCTTGCTGAGTTATCAGTGGAGCTGGCTGAATCTCAAGGAAACCAAGAGCAGCAAAGTGTTTGGAAGTTTCTAAAGTGTCGCAGCAGCTCCCTCAGGGCCTCTGCTAAGAGTGCTTTAGCTCCAGGCAATGGTAATGTAGTCCTGTTACTGACATGCATGCATGTTTTTTCCCCTTCCTGTGAAGGATTATAAAAACTTGCCATGTACCACAGAAGAGGACAGCGGGTGTGAGCCCTCCAGCTACTGTGAGGATTCCTGCGAGCTGGGAGAGACCGGACAGCCCCTTTTGAACAGCAACAATTACCAGTTCTGCTGAAGTGTGTGTGTGTTCAGGGCCTGCTTGTTTATTCAGCTTCAGCCAAAATGCCTACTCTATGTGGACATTTTGCATCAGAAAATGTGATACTTTCATCCGTAGTCATGGGCTGTGGTCTTACCACACACTGACAGATTCCAGAATATTACAAGTGGCCTGTGATTGTATCTTTTCCCCCATCACAATTCCCAACATCATGGCTTCCATCTTTCCATTGTGATTAGTTTGGCTTATTTAAGAAGCTCCACAAGAATCCATGTAGCCTCTTTGCAGATGGGTATAGCCTGCTAAGCATCAGTCCTGTACACTGGCAAGCTTGTGAGGTTGAGGACCAGGATGAGGCTTTGAGTCCAAGTGATGTTCTGCATGTATCTCACTAGCCCTCAGCTTAGGTTGTTTTTTTTAAAGGCAGGCAGACTCCTTTCCTTACTCCAGATCTATTGTCAATACACAATAGTACCTAAGAATTTATCAGGTTAGTGAAAGGAAAATTGACATACCAGATCCAGCTCAGCTATGGTTCAGGATTTCATGGTGGTGTGGTTATGAAGAGAAAGAACTAGAATCATTCACCATCTGTGAATTGCCATTAGTTACTTCCTAGAGTGGAAATTACCTCAGCTGGATGAAAAATTGTTTAATTCACTGCAGATAAGAAACTTCAGGCAAGAAAGTAATAGCAAACTTTTACTCCCCTCCCACTGCTACACAGTATATTGATCAATTTAAGATTAACTGCATGTGTTAAACAGGTAAATAGGAAATAGTGATTTTCGGTGCTGCAACCAATCTGTTAGCTAAGATTTAAGCATAAACCTACCTGCTATGAATGTTTTACACTGCAATCCTAATATATTTACTTAGAATTAAATCCTATTTAGCTCTGTGAGGTTTACTCTTAGCAGAGAATAGGAGTGCAGTCTGAATTACTTAAGTTTTCATATTTTCAACCAATATAGTAGTTCAGTTGAGATTTTTTTTTTGTTTTGTTTTTTTGCACTGGAGCGGTGAAAATGTGCCCCCATGACACAAATTAATCCTCAGGAGGATAGCTTGCTTGTCCAGATGAGGGGGCCTTCTTTCCCTCTCCACACTCACAGCTTTTCTATAAAGGCAGAGAAAGCGGACTTGCTCCTTCTGCCCCCTGCTGGTTATATACTGAGGGACGATAAGGATGCATTAGCTGCCAATCCTTTCTGGGCAACATTCGAATTGCTGATGCTTCCCTTTAAGGATCCACTTGGCTTAGTACCTGAAGGGATCCCCTTCTAGCGCATGAACCTTCATAAATTTGACTTTCCTGGTCAGAGGCCCTCTGCTGAATCTCCCAACCAGCTCACAATCCTCAAACTCGCATTGTTCGGCATGTGGTAAACCAGGAAAGAGCTTGTGGCCTTATATATAAAATGCACACCCTGAAGAATGCCTAGCACCAGATATGTATTTTCAGTGCCAGAGTCTGCTTTTTGTTTTATTCTTTTGCTAGACTGTATCACTCTGTCATGTCCTACTGCATTATGGTTTTTAACCCAAAGTTTTCCCGTACTTAACTTGATATGTAAGCTGACCCAAGCATTTTAATAATGGAGGGTGGCTGTTGTAGCACATTAATTTCTGGACTTTGAAACGGGTAAACAAACTTCAGGCAGCTTTTTGTTACAACTACTGGTGTTTGATATTTCTTATGAACAATTCTTATAGAAGAAAAATCAATATGAATGTTTAAAAGTATATTGCAAATAAGATGAGTAATCCTGTGTAGATTAGCTAATTCATTTTTTCCTCAGTATGTTACCAGTTTTGTCATTCAAGTACTGTAGCAAATACATTTACACTGCCAATGATCTAAGCTGCCATGAGAAATGTTTTAATGTATATATTTTCAGTTTATATTTTCCATAGGTATTTTTCAAATTAGAAACAAGAACCAAACAGCTTCAGAGGAACTGTACCTTTTTTCAAGCTACTGATTTTTGTATCAGTTTTACATAAAGATTACTAGCTTTGCTAAGCTGCCACCTTCAAAATCTCATAAATGAAAAATGAAGGTCATGAAACTTAGTCTCAACTGACCATGCAACAAGATAGCAATTACAAAATACATTTGTGCTGACATAAGGATCTGTAGCTCTTTTACTGGTAATGCAGAACTAGCTAGTTGGACTTCTAGCACAAAGTACCACCACTCAGTTGCTGTCAGCTCCTTTTAAATAGTTTAGCTGCTATGTATTTAGCAATCAAGTGTAACAGTACTCCCATTATGTATTTTACAAATATGTTCACCTTTAACTGCCATGAAAATAAAATTATCTGATGAAGCAAACTAACCTGTACTCCAGATTTTGCTCCATTTATCATTCCTAAGAAAAAATATGACTTCTACTATGAACATTTTTAAAGAAGCATAGTTCAGTAGTAGTTCTGACAACCCTTTGTAAATATCACTACACTTCCGATAATGTAGTTGCATTTGAACTATGATAAGACAGGTTGATAAAAACAAGATCACCACAAAACCCAGGCACCCCACAGTCCAAACCACTGTCCAGTTGGGACTCCAGGGGCAGGCAAGCATGAGGACAGAATTCACTCGTGAGCGCTTTTCTCCTGTCCTGTGCCAGCGCTTCTGAGACAACAGCAGCTCTTAATCCTTGCAAGGGCACAATCATCAACAAGTGTGTTTGGATCACTCATGACTGGCTCTCCTGTATTTACTGAGAATCAAAAAGAACATTAGCCCAGGATGGAACAAGCTGGAAGAAACAATAAAGCAAAGCTCAAATGCTATCTTCAAATTTGTTTCTGCTGGCTAAATTTTCAAGGTGCCAACCATTGTTTTTCTGACTCAGGAAAGGAGGCTTGTTACAGTCAAGAAAAAATGCCTTTGAGCAAGACTGCATTGAGGAGGACATCAGACTAAGTGATTGCTTTGGCCCTTCCCACTCTATGGTTCTCACTAGACAAATGTGTAGGCATATTATGGTTACGGGGAACAAGAGGAAGGTTCAATGTTTCAAAGGAACCCAGCAAGCAGAAGCATGCAAGGCTCATATTTGTCTTGCTTCTTTGGTAAAACTGGATTTGCAAATGACTTCGAAAACCCATGGATTTCTTCCATGAGGGAGTGAGATTTGTAAAGTCACACTTCAGACCTGAAGGCTAGAAATAAGTCAAAAAATGTTAGATTTTCAAAGACCTGTTTTCCCTCTTCCATTGCAACATCTGAACAAACTAAAGTTAAAAAGTTAAGGAAAGCAAAAATATGTGCTTGTGTTTAAAAAAATTACCCATGGTCCAATTCCTAGCACTGCCATCAGCGCCCCCCCCACACCCACCATACAACGCAGGCTAGTCTCCACTGCAACCTGTTGTAGCGTAATTTTATGTAGAATATGTAGCACAGGCTCTTTTTAGAAAATAAATCATAGGCTGTAGGATATGCAGCATAGGCTTTTTTTTTAAGAAAAGACAGCATCCCAACACTGTTAAAGCAGATGTTTAAAACAACTCTTAAGATGGTACAGACTCTACTGGAACACCTTATGAAGATTTCCTTTTACCACATGCCTTGGTTACTGCAATCAAATGGGAGTACTTGCAATAGCTTTCAAAATCTTGAGGCTGCCAAGAAGGAAACTCACTGCACCAAAACAGTTTCATCCTCCAACACTGGAAGAGATAATTTATTAAAGTTTATCGCTGACTGAAAAAGTGTCTTTCATAAATTAGCATTTTTAACAGCAAATCATAAGCTTTGCTCAGAAATTCAATAGCATTCTTTTTTGTTTTTACAGCACAGTACACACTAGAATCCTTCACAGAAGGGAGTTTTTAAGTCCGCACCACAAATCTGAATAAACCAGTGGAAGCTAATTCCTTTCCCACATTCCAGGAAAAGTAGCAGAAATTCATCTTCACTTCCCAGTCTTACGCATGGGCAAGAGTGAACAGGAATCAGTGGACAACACAAGCATTTTACACACCATTGTTGAATGTATCACACAGGAGGAACAGTGCTGGTCTTAGGACAAAGGGCTGAGGAAATATGCCAACATGAAGCTCAGCCATGTCAATTTTGCAATGCTGGAACTGGCTACTATATAGTGGTTTGCAAAGGGCTCAGAGAGGTAAGTGTTATGTAGCCTCCCTTAACAAGCTTCAATTGGGTAGATAATCAGAAAAAATGTCCCTTGATAGCGTTCACTGAATCCAACTACTTTTGCACGAATACTTTTATCAGTATCTCTAAATAAAGTCACACACAATCTGTTAATTCCATGGATATAATATAAAGTGCCTGAAAATCCTCTCTCGACCAATAGTCCAGTTGCTTTACTGAAAAATATACAAATCCCTGAAGAACCTTTGTAATGGGTATGTTAGCCAGGGTAACCTACCACAGTCCAATCTTTAAATCCACATAGCCATTCAAAACCACGCTGGATTTCAACCATAAACAAGTGTGTAGTCTCACCTCAGGCTGAGGCAGAAGGACTTGCGGAGCAGATAGACTCTTACCCCTTCGATCCTGATGGGAGGCAAAGGGCAGCAGGCAAGTTCAAGTCTTCTCAGAACAGAACCCAGCAACAGCTGGGTTTCAAATATTCCTTGCTTAATGATGGCCACCCCTTCAGAATAACATTGAGAGATCCAAACAGGTTTTACACTCTTTCCACTCATGGTCCCAATACCCAGCCACACACCCCTCAAAAAACAAATAACAAGATTAGACAATCTTCTATAAATCCATTTGCTTTCTGCTGCCAGCAATTTGAGACCAGTAGAAGTGGTTTCTTTCCCCCTTAGAGAACATTATCCTGGCTGACTTAGGCATTCAAGCAGTCCTCTGGAGAAGAAACCTGCCCTTTTATAGCAAGCTGCCTGTGGATCAAAGACCCAATCCAGACTTCAACGGAAGCACATGACTCTTTGGTCAACGTAAGCTGTCAAAGCTATTCAGGACTGGAGCTTGTCTATGTGACAAATGGCAGGGAGCATCTGCATCCTTGCTTCTCTCTATGAATAAATAAGGCAACCTCAGAGCCAGTTATGCAACACCATTCTCCCCTTGAACCTCTTCCTCTTCATCCACTTCTGTCTTGATCTGGGCCACACCAAGACGGTACAGAGTATCCCGGATCACCACCTCCCCAGGCTGGCAGCTCTGAACAATCTCATGGATCTGCCTGTTCACAATCTCACGGCTGGAGAGGAAATCCATCAAGCGATTGTAGAGATAGTAGTGGGTTGCACTGTCAAAGGTTATAGGTCTCTGGCGGACATTATTGGTCTTGCTGTCATTGATGGCTGTAATGATGGCACCATATGGTTCTAGCTCCCGGCAAAGGGAGAGGGAACGGTGCCGGGCTGTTGGGTCATTCTGAGTGGTCTGCTCTGCCCCAGTGTGAACTATTCGGCGAGATGCTGACTTGGTGACAGGGTGCTGAACAGAATGCTCAGTGCTGCTCATATCCACATTGTAGTGTCTGTCAAGAAGTTCTGGGCAAGAAACATACTGATGAAAGAGAAAGGAGAACAAAAAAGAAAAATGATTTTCATATTGGAAAAACTTTTGCATTTTCCACCTTCAGAACAGGCTAAGCAAGCACAAAGCAAGTTACAACAACAGTCACATAAAAATGGTAGTCATAGGATTCCATGGTTAGTGCAATAAATTTGAATCCAAATTCAAAAGCCAATAGGTGAAAGATCCTTTGGTTAAATGATACAACTTCAATTCTGCAACTGTAAGGTGGGAAGTAACAGATCATTTCCACAGGAAGAATGAGGTATATAGATCAGGCAGTCAAGAAGTGATGGTTAATGGCAGAAGTAAATATCCATCCTGAGCACTTGCACTGACTGATCAATCGACTGATTAAAAGCTTTTGTATGCCGTCCTATTATACAAGATCTCAGGGCGGCTTAATTATGGGGGTTTTACTTGTGTTAATAAAACTTATACAAGTAGTATGTGTGCAAGCATGTGCATAAATATCATATTGCTTGGAGAAAGAGAGAGAAAACACCAAGACTACATCTAGGAGAAGTACAAATGTAGTGACAGTTCCCCATGATGAGGCTAAAAGTATCAAGAAATTGTTTTTACACAATTCTGAGGACCAAGCAAAATAAGCCATTTACTGTCTGTCTGCCCACCCAACTAAAAAGAACTAACTGATAGAAACACAATAGGCATTTCTCACTAGAATATTTTTCTAAATCCAGTACTGTGATCTGAACATATGGAAATAGATACTAAAAAGAAGTAAGGATGATACTACTGAGGTAAACCAGTTGTACAGGTATTAAACCGCCCCCCCAGCACACCTACCAAAAACATTTAACTGTGCAATCTAGTGCATGTTTAAACAGAAAAAGGACCTACAACTCCAAGTACACTCCAGCCAGCATAGCTTGCTTACGCATGCTTGGAGTTCTGGGACTTTATCTAACCATGCACAGAATTGCCCTCTAAGCCATATCAACTTAAAAGCAATAAGTAGTTTTAGTAAGAAAAAAAGTATTTGAAAGTTAAAACAGAAATTAGAAAAAACCCATAATGGCTCAGGTTACCCAAGCAACAGAAAGACAATCCATGCCAACTGGAGCTATCCATTGTCTCCACCTACCCTTCCTTCAAGGGTACCCCATGAGAAGAAAATCTATCACTGGTATTCTTACTAGCTTTGAAGCCAGTGCAGCAAAATGCAACTAACCCGTAACGGTTCCATGGGATCCGAGAAGCAACCCTGGTTCCTCCCCCACATCTGAGCAGTCAAGTCAGGATAGCAGATATCCGCACACAATGCCACGGAACTGGCCAGATCTGTCACATAGACAGGTGGCCAGTGGCGCGAGGAAGCTAGAAGGTCCACATGGTCCCGGGGGCTTTCGCCTCTGACAATGTATTTTGAGCCACACAAGACCTGAGGGAAAAAGGCATTAACAGAATTGGTGCAACAAAGTAGAAGAAAGGAAAGCACTCTCCAATAATCAGAATCCAGTTGAGTCATCCCAAGAGGACGATTGGTGGGAGATTCAGGACAGATCAGAGGAACACACAACACATAGTTTTACTCTGTAATTCACCTTCACAAGATGTAATGAGGTCCACTTTGGTGGCTTTGGAAGGGGACTAGACAAATTCATGAAGGATATGGCTGTTGGGGCTACTAGTCTGATGGCTACATGCTACTTACAGGATCACAGGCAGTATGCCTATGTACAGCAGGTGCTGGGGAACATGGGCAGGAGGGCACTCTTATGCTCTTGTTCTACTTCAGAGTTTTCCCATAGATGACCAGGTGGCCACTCTGTAAGCAGAAATGATGCTGCTGGACTAGAAGGGCCCTCGGTCTGATCCAGCATGGCTCTTTGGACATCTCTACATTAACACTCAAGAACAGGGATTGTCCTAGGCCCTCCTGGCATCATTCCACCCCCTCATTCTCCACATAGAGATTTTCTCCTTGACCGAACGCCTGCAAGAACAAGGCTACCCATGTCCCCTTTCAAATAACACTTAGAGGAAATAGATTACATTGAGTTCCTTGATGAAAAGGGGATATAATCAAAGGAGCATCTAAAAGTCCAGGAATGTGATTGAAGGTTCAAGCACAAGGGGAGCCTCAGATGACAAAATATTCCTGTCCCAAAGCTTCAAGGCAAATAATTAAGTAAGCAGGTAAGGTAAGCTCCTGTGAGAGAGAAGGTAAATGCCTAAAATGGTTACGCTTAGCCTTCAGTTCCACTTCCATGTAGACTCAACTTTGATTCACTGTGCAGATAATACACCAAGGGGTACTGCAGACTTAAGTTCAATTCAAAAATTCACATTGTAGTTCAATTTTAAAAATGAGACCGTAAGTATAGGAAAATAAATGTCAAGTTATTTGCATTTGCGCAGTCAAACTGCCCAGACCCTCACCTCAATTGCCACGCACTGGCCTCTCTCCTGATAACAGTCACCATTCCTGGGGGCCTCAATAAACCTAAAGACCCCTCGAGTCCCATGCATGCTAATGGAAGGCTGTAGAGGGAGAACATTCTATAGTAATGGCTGGCTTCATGAAGACTCAGTAAGTGCATGCTTCTGTTATGACAAAGTTATTTTTTTCTCAGTACCCTAGAAGACTGTGCCATAGAACAGCAGGGGCATGGAACAGAGTGAAGGACAGTCTACACTTAATCCCATGTGGTATGTAGGACTTGGTGTGAGATGTAAAAATGCTGCTGAACTTGTTGGACAGCACAATCTCAGCTGATGTGACGACTGCCCAGAAGTCCAGCACAGTCGTATTTGACTTTTAAAAAGGAACATACAAGAGGGAAGAGTTCACCACACATAATTAAACCGAGGGATTCACAAACACAAAATGTGCTGATGATCACCAACTCTGGTGTCTTCAAAAAGGGATCAGGCAGATTAATGGAGAGGTAAGATAGGATTAAGCTTTGAGCAATGGGGACTGTATACTGACCCCGGGAAAAGAGGCACCATGCCTTTGAATACTCAGATGCTGGAAAGCAGCAGGAGAACACAACTGCCCACATCTTACCTGTAGGCCTTCCAAGGCATGTATAATTGGGGAAGGCTGTTCTGTTCGGGGAAAAGGATGGTGGACTAGACAAGTCTCTCATCTGACCCAGCAGATTCTTACCCATAATTATTTAAATCATGATTCTAAACCATTTTTCACTAGCAACAGAATCCTATGCAGGTTTATCCAGATGTAAGCCTCACTGAGTTCAGTGGGATTTATTTTCAGGTAAGTGCATATCATCATAAATGTATCCTTTGCTACTACAGGACAGTCCAGTCATTCACACCTAGGAAGTGCTCTGGATTGACCTAGTGATGCCACCTCACCTGATGTGGACAGACTTTATAGATTTTTCCTCCAGTGAAGTGCGCTGGTGGCTGACTGATCCGTGTCCCATTTTGTACAAAATCATAAAGAGCCAGGAGGGAGAGACAGAGCTGCTCCTAGGAAACATCCGGGGGGGGGGGGGATAATTATATCAACAGAAGTAGCAGTGTTAGTCTCATAAACATGTTTCTGCCAGTGAATGACAAGAGACAGACAAGCTAGAAAAACAAAAAGTAGCACAGTTATAGTTTACCTATAGATTGCAAGGAAGTAAAAACCCAAGCAATCAGTTTTTAATTTAAATATAATGTTCACCAAAATTTCACACCGCTGGTGCTTTCAACATAGAAATCCAAATCTACAATAATTTTAGAATTTAAAAAAATAAAAACAAAAAATATTGGTTACTTTCCCTCAAAAATTCAAACATTTTCATGACATTTTCTTCAGCAGAAAGACGTAAGTATTGTTTCAAAACATGTAAATATTCTAAAGTTAGCTTATAGACTATGTAGGTAGTGGGGGGAAAGGGCTGTTTCCCTTCCACGATAATGCAACAATCAACTTCATGATTAATTGCACATCATTATCACCATGACATAACTTTTTCAAATATAATGAACTGATACTGAGCAAATTCAGCTATGCATTAGTAACGGATTAAGAAAATGGCAAGAAAGCAATACTCACTTTAAAAACCAGGGATTGCTATGTGCTTACTAAAACCATCATTACCTTTGACTGTTCGGCTTCCCAGGGAATGCTGCACTGAGTCAAGAAGCTCCGTAGTTCTTCCTCACTGTATGAGCCAATCTGCTCCATTTTACAGGTTTCATCCTGTATGAGCCGCACTAAAACATTTGCATTACCTAAAAAGCAAAAGGTGGATTTCAGTAGATGCACTTAGAATTTACCAGAATTGTTTCTCCAGGCCAGGAAACCATTTGTGTCTCCCACCAGAATGCTGCACATAAGCCATTTATCAGTAAGGGTCTTAATAAAGCAAGGACTTAAGAGCATTGTCTAAAATGATCTTCTCCACACCCTCAAAAAAGTTCCGTATCCTTAAGTTGCCCAGTGTTTAACACCAGCAAAACAATGTCCCTAGCAGAGACAGTGCTTGTAGGAGGCAGTTCTATGTGATTTGTGAGCATACAAACATGAACGTTTCCAAGTAACAGACTACCATTTAATTAATCCACAATTTGCCAGGTTTCCAGTTGCAGGCAAACTGCTTCCAATTTGAAAAAGTAACCTCTGATTGCAAGCTGCTTCATGACATGCAAACCTAGACATTTGAGTCAAAACAACCCAAAGTTAATGTATGCTTCATTTTTCATTTAACTTTGGGCTGTTTAACCCATTAGAAACTCTTAGGTCACAGTGAACCTGCAGATGGGCCAATCAGAGATGGAAACTGGAAAAGGCCCACATGCAATGCAGCAAATTGTAGGTTAAGTAACTCACAATGTGCCACTATTGCGTGCAAATAGGCCCAGTGTCTAAAATCAGCCCCTAGAGATGCCACAACCGAGTACTTTCTTTTAAAGCAAATGCACTATTTTCTCAATTCTTTGCATCCTTTTGGACTAGGGAGGAGAATCTCAGTACTGTGAGACTGTAAGCTAAATACACTGGTATTTCTGGTCCTGGTCCTTTAGCCAGCCACCCAAATGCAACTCCCAGGATGAAAGCAATTTGACACTCCTGCTTTGCACACTAACAGACCCATGATTCACCAAACATTACCCAAATGCCCAAGGAAACATGCTACCTGGGATGCTGTGTGCTTCAAGATTCTTCTCTCTCTCTGTGTTGACAACCACAGTGCCCCTCATCAGGGGTGGGAAGAAGGGGGCTATGATTGAGGCGTCAAACTTTGTAATGGGAATGCTGGAGGGGAATGCCACCTGCTCTATCACTTCTGTCTCCATGGTGGACCAGAAATCTTCCACATTTACTTCACTAGATGCCAAGAATTCTGGCCAGGTAAACTACCATTGGAAAAAGAGAGAAAGGAACGGATCAACCAATGTTTAATTTGTAGACAGCTATACATTCTGTTCAAACTTACACAAAGAAAATGGTTTCCCTTGCTGTGCTGAAGCTGACAGTATGGTTTGGTTCTGTGTCCCCAACCCCACCACAAATCTCCATTATCACTTTTTATGCAAGAAGAAAATAAAAAAAAAACTGAACAGAAACTGGACCCATGAGCTTCAAGCAATGAAGTGAAGAGAATGCCCTGAAGAGTATTCCATTTTTGTTGGTTCTAAAGTGTACTCTGACACAGTACATCTGTATTTCTGTACATCTGTAGTACACATTAGCCCTACAAATATACATTATGAGGAGCAGAAGTTGAGGTGAAACATGGCCATGAGGCCCAGGATAACCTACCTCAATATTTTTCAATGACAAAACATTTTCTGCATTCCTCTGGGCTATTTCAACTTTGGGTGCGATGCCACAGACTCCACAGATCATGTCATTGTAGTCTCGGACAGTGAGGCACTCAAAGGCCCAATAGCCATTGCACAGCAGCTCCTCAAGCTGAGTTAACTCTTCTGTGCTCAGGTTTCTCTCTGTGGGAGAAAACAAAAGGACATCATTTAATCAAACAAAATGATCATTAATAACATACTGCTTGAAAATTCACTTTGGTTTCAGCAGAAAGAGTCACAGAACTACTACTTGAATTAACATTTTACTTTAGCTCTCCATATAGTTTAGGCAACTCCTGACCACTTGCCCTGCTGGAAGGGCTGATGAGGTGAAGTCCAAAGCATCTGCATTTGATGGGGAGGATACCCTAGGTGCACTGTGGCAATTTAAGCCTCTGCTGCTCCCCAGAGATGACAGGGCCAGTGCAACTGATGCACCCCATGTGAGTGGCTTACTGCCCACCAGGCCAATTCACACGGCCCAAGACCTGTTAATCAGCGACAGCAGCTTGTCGACCAGCTCCACGGGTGCCACCCAATTTACCCTCCCCATGACAAATCGGTCTGCTGAGGGTAAGTGACTGGAGTGGTCGAGAAAGCACTGAGCAATCACAGAACAGGCTGGGGGTGGTTTGTTAACCAGCAAAGCCACCCACCATCCTCGGGTTCAGGTGTCACAAGCTGTGCCCAGCAAAGGTACACAGGTAAATCAGGCAGCATTGCATCTTATCAACCGTCCTTGTGTTGATCGATTGATTTATTATATTTATGGTATGCCTTTTTTCCTTTAAGGAATCCAGATGGCTTACATAATCCTCCTCACAAGGTAAGCTGAGAGTCAAAGGCACTTAATGAGCTTTGTGGACAAGTGGGGACTAGAATCCGTATCTCTTGGATCCTAGTACAAAACTGCCTGCTATGCTACACTGGCTCTCAAGCACATCAGGTTGTGCAAACCTGGTCACAGACACACAGCAAGAGTGTGCTGGCAAAGAGGTTCTTATCTTTCCTGGGGCACTTGCAGTGTGCTGGCCATAGGATAAAGAGAGAGCCCAGCCCAGATCGAGAATCTGCCAGCCAGAGACAAAGGTTCAAATGCTCTAACTGGGCTAGTGTACAAACCGTGGCTGAGCTAGAGGCCAATCAGCCTAGATCAGTACCTTTCACATCCCGCTATTACACTAGCAGAAGAAAAAGATCCAGTGGAGACACATGGCCTGCAATTCTCTCTCAGAGGCTGACAGATGATACTACTGAGCAGGAATTGTATGGAATCCAAACCTCTTCATCACTTGGGACTCTTCTGGTCTCACACACACATCCAGTTACAGCCTGCAGCACTTTATGCTTCCACGAGTCTTACAGTCAAGGCATTCAATACTAATTTCTAGCAGGCAGGCAGGCAGGCAGGCAGGCCTATCTGTCTCTCTGTTCTAGCACACCAACAGGATCTCTTGCATACCAATCTTCTCACTTGCTGAATTAAAATATCAACCTCTCTTCCACACTGTCAGTCAATTTAACCAAATACACTCCTTGAAGTGCTATTCTCTCAAGATGCAATGTGAAATGGCAGCTGAAAATTGTTTTGATTCAATCACAGCTGCTGGACAGACATCTAAACGAAGAGAGACCAGGTTCTTCACAAACAAGGAGCAGGGAAGTTTAAATTTGGACAGAGCTGATTGGAAAAGCAAATTACATGAAACCTCACTCAAAATCATCTTCTGCCTCAAGCAATCCCCCCACCCCCACCCCCAGTGAGTGCAAAGCAATTGCAAAGGAACCAGACTGGGATAATATCAATACCGGTTTGTTCCTGCACAGATTCCAAGATGCTGCTGACCACCACTTTAGGATCCTCACCAAGTTTAATATGATTTCTTATGGTGAACAGAAGGTCCAGGCTCACCAAAAGCTTGTTGCCCACATTGAACAAGCCTAGAGTTTAAGAAAACAAAAACCAAAAACAGCTCTTAACACAGACACAGGCCATAAATGCAAAATGAACTCAAAATGTTCACATAAACACTGTAGCCTCCTAGGAGAGAAAAACAGGATCCATTAGTGGAAGACTACATTGATCCATTCTGCTGGTGCAGCAGAACAAGCAGAGGTACAGCAACAGTATAGGATACTAGCTTTCAAAGCTTAAGGTGTGTGTAAACAGGTTTATTAATTATTTTTTCTTACCAGTGTAGATATCATTGAAGCTGTGGAGAGCCAAGCACTGCACATTCACACACACCTTGAGCTGAGCTGTGACCACCTGCAGCCGATTAGCTGTCAACAACCAGCACTCCTGAGGGCCTGCAAGAGAACTTTAATAATGGAGGGAGAAGAAATTACTTATTAGCCACTATCTGACAAAAAGCAAAGATGTTTTTAAAAAGTAGAATAGAAACCCTGAGCTTTCAAAATGCTTACTTAGGTAGAACTAGGATCAAAACATATTTGAGAGTAGCAAGAACCCTTGCTGAGAATCCATGAATAGCCTAGGCAGACGTACAGGTTTGCTAAATTAAACATGCTGATAATGCATTTGAAGGGGCTGAGTTCAAAACTAAGTAACAGCAATCACAATCAGATGCTATTTACATATTTCACAATTCTCCCAAAAACATGCAACTTGCTGCATTGCCCTCCCTCCCCATGAGTAAACAGGTCTTGAATCTTTTTGAACTACAGTCTATAAAAATCTGGACACTCAGCTCTTCTCTTATGATCCAATGGGGAAAATATAATTCTAATTTCAGGACCAGGACTGTGGGTAGACACAGTAGCATAGCACCCATAAGCCCTTAGGTAGATCAGTTTATACAAGTCTTTCAACAATTTCATTTAACAACAGTGAGGCATGCGACTAAAACGCAACTAATACAACCGCTTCAGATTCTAAAAGCTTGGACTGGTCTTGAGAGTAAGGTGAATTTTTTTAAAGGATGCTGCAGTATTATGCCTTGAGAAATGCGGCAGACAGTAGGATTCTCAACTTACTTTGGTCCTCCTTTGAATAAAGGGCTGCTACAGAGAAGGCACTGGGATGATGGAAACTCGTAATAGTTGGACCAAGAGGTCTGCTCGATGGTGACTGTCTCCTCGTTCATGTTGGACAGGATAAGCTGTGAGCTATTGAGTTCATGGATTAATGAAAAAACTTCAGCCAGCTCCGATTCATTTTCTGGAATCTGTATTACTTTGCGCAGAAGCTGCAGAGTAGACTGACGCTGGATCTCTTTTTGGGACTGAATTAGAGGCTCACTGGTGTTCAGTACATGTGCAGGGCTAGAGTTGACCTCCTACAGAGAAGAGTCACATCTTGATTATCTGTCAGGACATGCATACAGTCAAAGCTGAAGCATCACAATGGTCTTACTTGGAAGGTGACCTTTCCGCCATTTGGCTGGTGACTGTCATTAGGCATTAGACAGTTCATTCAGCCAAGCCAGGGGCAAGGCTATAAAAGCACACTGGAGAAGCAACTCAAGCCATTCTCCTCCACTATGCAGATTGCCTGATTAGACTTTTTTTTAAAAAAAAGAAAAAGAAAGATTTGGTGAACTGGGCCTCTGCGTATTCAGACATTCTGTCTGCTAACTCACATTCTTACTGAAGCCCCACACCAGCTTAACAAAACCCTTTGAAACAGATGAAAGTCAGAACTGAGATATGGCACTGTAAGCACCAGGTTCTGCAGAATTAGATCAGGGAACAAGCTGTTTTATGAAATATAACATTTCAACAGAACTGCACAGAACAGCAGAGTACCTAGAGGATTCAAGATTTTGGTGATACCTACATACTTCTACCTCTTCACAGCCCCAAATATCAGATGCCTGTGGACAGCTGGAAAGACTTCCAAAGTATGACAGGGTCAGTTGTACAAAGGTTCATATGTACTGCCATTTAACTGTGAAATGGGAACATCCTCTTTAATATTCATGGCCTCATGTTACAGTTAACTACAGAGCATCCTCCTCATGGGCAGGGGTTGGGGAAGCAAATGCACTGAGAAGGGTAACTTGCCACTAATTTAACTGTTCCACATAATCCCTTCATGCAAATACCATTAGATTCACAGGAAATCCAGCCCCAGGGCATTACAGCCACGGCATTCCAATAACAAGTGGATCAAGCCCAAGAAACCACAGAGAAGGAACGTTTGTGGCTGAGAGAAAATAAGTCTGAGAGCTTTAAATTTAATGTGTTTGCTACTATACTGTTGATGCAAAAGCGAACACTAGGGGGCCCTTCAGGACAGTAAGAGACAAATGCCATTTCACTAACACAACAGAAGGCATCGCACTAGTGTCTCAAAGTGCCTTCCTGTCTTAATTCTGATAGGTATTTAGACAGAGAAGTTATAATACAAAAGTTGGAGTTCCAAGTAGAGTAGTGTGGAGGGGAAAGACCAAGAGATGACAGAGGCAGCACTGGCCAGTCCCTACTCATGATTAGCAGAAAGTGTCACAGGGTCAGTTCTCCTTTCTCCATACCCTCCCCACTTGCATGCAAATTGACCCAACCTAGTGGTGAACCAATTCTGGCTGCTCTTATTGGCCAACGCTTTGGTGCTTTTATCACCAGCATCTGCCAGTCTCCTAAAATCGTGTTCCTGGCTCCACACTACACCTCAGAAACAGGAGCCCTGCTCAGGAGTTCAGAAAGGAATTAACAGCAACGTACGCCTGAGAGAAGAGCCTTCTGCATCTGTGGGGGCTGAAAATCCAATTGCCCACCCTAACGGTTCAGAGTTTGAGGGCAAGGCAGAGTCTCACTCTGGCCCTATATTCCCACGGACAGTTGATGCTTCCCTTGGGTGAACAGGGAAGTCAAAACAAGTCTAGGAGTCTGTTGAACTTTGCAGTTTGGGAGAGGCAAGCTTCCTCCTCTCTCCTCTTTAGCTGTAGGCTTAGAGGAAGCCTCAGGGTCAGTCACTTGTCAGAGCCTGGCTCCTCGACAGCCACAGTAAAGAAAGCAAGACAAGTGAATGAATCTGCCTCCAGCTAAGCTTAGGCAATCATTCACTACTAACCAGGATGTATAACCAGCTTCAAACTCCAAGTTTTGGACCTCTTCCCATCAAAACATGCATAGGATTGCACCCTGAGATGACTACTTAAATAAACTCATATATTAGAAAGCAGTTACCACTTCCACCGACAACAAAACTGCACGTTTCCAAAAGGACACAAACTAGGCCACAACCTTCTTACCATTAAGCCTAGAGAACTCTCTCTTTGCAAATTGCAGAAACTATGTCAGACTTCTGTACAGGAAGTGTCTTGTTTTACTGATGTTGTGCAAGTGGCTCTGGAAGACTTTTTGGTTAAAAAGTTGGATAACAGTAGTTTTAAAAAATCAATCTATCTATAGTGCATTGTGTACATGCACACTTTTCTCTTGCATGCAGCCCCTATACATATTAACTCAGAAGGAGGTCCATCTGGAGTTCAAAACCACACACAAATATGGAAGATTTGTAGTACACTAAGGTGGATTCCAAGGAATATTTAAAAGAGCCACAACTCACCAGGGCTTTTGCCGTTTTCTCAGCTCTGTCTTTGGCAAGGTTGTAGCCACAGCTGGGACAGATCCTTGGCTTGTGTCGATTAGTATATACATAATTGCAAGAAGGGTTCTTACATTTCCCTCTCCCACGTGATGTTGCTAACCCCAAATCCTACAGGGACAGAACAAATAATGTATCTGTTCCGCTTTATTTCACATACATCACAAGTCTACTAGAGCTTTCAGACAACTACACTACCTGTTTTCCCAAAATATATAAAAATCAGCAAGACAGGATCAGGGCACTGATGTCTGCCCAGTTAAGATCATTTGCTTCAGCATTAACTCTAAGTATCACAAGCAGTTAACTAGAAGACCCTCATGGAAGCACAACTGGAGAAGTATTAATGAAGGGGGAAATGGAGGCAGGGGAGTCCTAGAATTCCATTAGGATGCCACAGAAAACCAAATTCATAAGGGATTAATGTCAAATCAAATAACATTTTTACATTTTCCATTTCACTGCATTACTATGAGCCACCAGTGGGTGAGGAATGAATGCTGCACATGGTCTCCAAGTAGAAGCTGTGATGTTTCTGGGTAAATTAAACTGCAGATGCTTAGGAATGAAAGCTACTCCAAGATATAACCCAAGAGGAGGGGGAGGTAAAAGCTGACCTAGAAACTAAATCATAAGGGGCTGTGAAAGGGGCTGTAAATGTTTAGCAGCATCTTTCACTTTTAATAAAAGTCAGTCAAGCACAGTGGGGACATGGAGGAATTTTCATGCCATGCCAGTTAAGAAGTTCAGATAAACTGAAGAAACCCAACATTTTGGCCACTTTGCATCAGAAAGCTCTTTAAATCAACAAAGGAAAAAGTCTGAAGGACAACATCCAAGCTAAGCAGCTGCAATTCACCTGTGCCTATTTGTTAGATAAACAAGGTGCTCCTGTCTGCCTGAAACACAAGAAAACCCATGCTTGCTCTCCTTTTATGACTGAAGATTCTTACCAAGGTTACAGTGCAGCTGTACTTATAGGAAGGGAATACTTCTGGTTTGACCTCTACCACTTTGACCTGAGATCCTGAGCTGTTTGTGCTGCCAGGGAGCTTTAAATGAAACACAAGGTGGCAAGAGAAAAACAACTTCAGGTTAGATGCACTGTTAGAAATTCTGCTAGATAGCAATCTCTCCCTGAAAGACATTTGACTCTTGCCCTCCCCACATCACCAAACCTCTGGCCTCAGAGATACGGAATTTCCTATTCATTAGCATTCTACACAGCATATATGGATTAGGAAACTGCTGTCTAAGTGCCAGTTTCCATTGTGTATCAACCTGCGCATTCAACAAATGGAGGAGCACACAGATGGAATAGCAAGCCTAGAACTTTACAAATGGAAAGCCACATTAATCCTGGAAATGCAGCATCAAAAATCAGGCCTAACATTCTCCTACAGGCTCTTGACTCACAAACTGAATGCCTACAAGCACATGCTTGAACCTGAGTAAGCTCTGCACATATCAGCCATCTATCATAAAACTCAGCTGGATTAATTATTGGAGTCGCGTCTATTCATTCATGAAATCTGCACATCTATCTCTCAATTCACACCACATGGTGGAAGGGTGCCTCTTATACTTTTCTGCATATGGAAAATACATACTAAGACAAAAGTGTGATCTGGTCAAGAAAGAAAGTAATTCACTAGTCAAAGTAAAGGCCAGAACTCTTGAAGTATGTCCAACTTTCTTCTGGAGAATATACTAGCCAGTATGGTATAAAAGTGAGAATTTTTAGGACAGTTTCAAATCCTTACTAAGCCATATGGGTTAAACTAGAGGGGTGGGAATTACATACGCTGCCTCCATTTAATGAAGGATGGGATGAAAGTCTGTATCTAATGACTGGTGAAATTAAAAAATAAGGCAGTGTATCACACATTCCACTGGTGATTTTTATGTTTATAGAATAGTTATGTGGGCAGCACTTCCAAGTACTAAGCCTTTCAGGAATCCCAAGGAACTGACAGCTGTAGGCTAGAGATTATGCCTGCAGTATAAATCATGCTAAAATGTATCCCTTAGTAAACTGGTTTCATTTGTTCTCCCTCTTCATATTAGAAGAGAGAATCCAATTATGTGCTAACAAGTACACTTCATTTTACCCACAGCTGGATAGCAATATTCCAAGACAACAGAAGAGCAAATATCTGTGCAAAACCTGCCATTACCTTGTGCTCTTCCACACTGGCTGGTTGCAAGGGAGATCGACCCAGCTGCTTCAATGTACTAGGCTTCAGTCCTGAGATTCTTACAGGGGAGTTTTGTTCTTGAAGACAGACATACACAGAAGGTTTTATATAGGTAAAAATACACATCAGAATATTGAGTTTTACACTGACTGGTCTAAGAAATGCAGCAGGAGATGTATTACAGCGAAGTATTTCTGAATCTCAAGGGACTAGATCCTCTTTCTTCACAAGGATAGGTGAAACTGTTACACTGTAGAAATGGTAAGGCTGATTTTGGGGACAAATCAAAGCCTTCTCTTCAGCAAGTTTCCTAAAGTGACATTGCAAGGCATACACAGCCAACTTCTTTCTAGATGTAGCAAGTCACGGCCTATCACTGAGAAAACACAGCTTGCCCCACAAAGCATTAACTGCAGCCCTCATTTTACCATTGTTTGTAAACGACTGTCGGCCAGAAGGCTGCTCCAAATTGGATTCTCTCGCCAAGCTGGCTGGGGCAGGCAAAATTGCCCTCATGGGTCTTGCTGCAGCCAGCAGGGAAGGTTTGGGCCGTGCTTTGCTTCTCTGCTCCTGCCCTTTGGGTGCAGTGACAAAAGCATCATTTCTGAAAAAAAAAATAGATTCAGCTGAGAATGCCACGTATCACTTACGCCAATAACAGTCACAATCTGCTTGAGGGAAGCAGTTGCTGCCTTGAAGTTAATCTCCCTCTGCTAGATGTCAGAATGAGACACTGAAAAATAACTAGTTTGGGCTGATAGGCAAACAGATACAAATCTGTTACTTCTCTAAAAAGGTTGGAAAGTATCAACAATCTTGGCTGGGCTGAGAAATGCCACTGTTGCTTTATGATCCAGTTATGACTTGCGCAGCAGTAATATGACATCCATCATCTGAACAGAACTGACTTACCCTATGGGATGCTTGATGGCAGAGGCGGGGCTGGAAAGCAGGTTGGCAGCGTTCACCACCTCAGCTGATGGCTGTGTCTCCAATCCCCCATCTTCCCTCTCCTTCAGTTCTACAGGAGGGTCTGCCCGCGCAACCCCCTCTTGCAGCTGAACGAGAGCAGTGGCTTTTCCTTGCTCCTCTGGTTGCAAGTTGTTTGCAAGGATGTGAGCCTCGGATATGATGACTTCCTCCCACTCAGTCTCCTGCCCCTGCCCTCCAGCAGGGGCTGCATTCAGAAGCTGGGTTACAGCTTCAGAGCTCTCCAGTGTAGATTTAGAGGCACTGTCTTGGGTCACTGCCTTTCCCAAGGCTACTGGCTGCTGGCTTCGTTTGGGCCCCAATGTTTTTATAGGCACAGATGAAATTGGCTCAGATTTGCCTTTTGGCTGTTTTTCCTGAAATGCAAAAACAACCACTGAAAAGTCAACATCACATATGGTTCATATTCAAATTTGGCTGATTGACATGAAGCGGGGAAAATAATTTAGTATTTGGGAATGACTACTAATACCACCTACGCTGACCTGAAAGCACCTATGTCACTTTGACATTTGTCAGTCAAGACAGTATGATTTAGGTCCACTTCCTGAATCTTAGCTGCCTCATGGAAAGCTATTCAAAAGGCTTTTGTGAAGCAGCTGGTTCATGTGGTTTTCACAAAAATAACGTGGAGCAAACATAAAATACATCCTTTTGGCAAAAAGGGCAGGATATAAATTTCATAAACACATAAAACTCCAGCCATTCAGATCTTCCTTCATTGTATGTCATAATCACCTTGTAGTACACCACAGAATACAATCAGCACATGATAGTCCAGAAGCCAGAGAAATAAATTTGAACTGGGTCTTGTTAGCTGCTTTTTAAGCACCAAAAATGTGAGATAAAAATTAATTCATAACAAATATTTTGTAAAGATGCATGATGTATTTATTTGCAGCAATTAAGCTTGTTTCTAAGATGGGCTTATTTTAAAAAAATGAGACCACAAAAAATCCATAGTGAGGTTCAACTTTAATCTGGCACTAGTGCCTTGGTTTAATTTGTATTATGGGTTAACTCTTAGGAGCAATCACATTAGAAATGAAGGCAAGATACAAAATCTCTGAATGAGCATTATAAAGCAAATGGTCTAATATCATTCTTCATCTGTATGTAACTATCAAATATGTAAAGGAAAGAAATGACCTTTCAGCAGGTCAGAAAGAAATGTGACTTTTTAAAAAGGAATGAGAGCCTCAGAAAACAATAATGTATTTCAATTTATTAGACCCCACTCAGCCTGAAGCAGAAAGATGATATCCCAAAGCAATATTTAACTTGGAGAATAAACAGGTAATTCCACAGGCAGTTGCCTTAAGTATTTGTGAAAATATGGTATCAAACCTTCCAGCATCCTTCCTGGTAAATAAAGAAGGTCTGGAGTTTTACTCTTTCTATGACTAATAATTCCATAATTCATACATATTTACTTTACAGATTAAAATATGAAAATAAAAGCTAGATGCAGTGGCACATTTTCCATACTATGAAATATACCTTTGGAATCCATTTCCCTCCGAGAAAATTCCCACAAATAGGGCATTTTGGTGGCTTGTGTCTGGTCACATAAGTAAAGGAACAGGCAGGATTGGAACAATTTCCGTGACCTCTGCGGGTGTAGGTAGTTGTCTAATAAAAGGATATGAATTAATTTAAGGAAGTATATCAATATAGGAAGTTTTCTTCTGTCATAAACTCACATGAGCCTTCAAAACAATCACAGAACAAATGGCTACATGCTATATGGCTTTTAATTTTAAAAATAAATCTATAGAGGTAAGGAATTTATATTTCATTCAAGATTTGGGATGAGGAGCAGAAAAGTATAAAAAGGCAATATATCCACCCCCTAAATAATATCTAGACTGGTAAATGTGGTATTTAATATACCCTAAGAAATAGGTTTATTCATGAATAGAATAAGCATAGGCAACATGCTTGCTCAGCACATTAAACAACCAGCCAAACAGGTTTACCAACAGGTTACTGTTGAAAGACTAGAGAAAGAAAAAAAGACAGACTGGATCACATCAATTGTGCACAATCACATTCACTATTTATTTATTACATTTATACATTATATACCTTTTTCCTTTCAGGGCGGCTTACATAATTCTCCTCTTCTTCCTTTCATTCTCATCCTCACAACAACCCTGTGCAGTAAGTTGGGCTGAGAGTATGTAACTGGCCCAGAGGCACCTAGTTAGCTCCACGCCAGAAAGAAGACTAGAACCCAGAACTCGTAGGTTCCAGTCGCACAACACCACATTTGCTCTCTGTTTCGCATGGTCATATGCCAGAGTTCCCAGGTTCAACCAATGAATATGTGATAACTTTACCATTTTCATTTTGATCCTGCCAAATTGCTGACAAAAGTAACAACTCATTTTAAAATTTCACCTCATTTATGTGGCTGGAGGTCTAGGATTCTTAGACCACTCATGGTTTCTACGTAGCAGTCCTACCCTGAAAGTAACCTTGTCCTTCCGCTTAAGAATGCAAGGCTGAATGACCCTGCTTTCTACTGGAGTGGAACTAGCAAACAGGAAGCATAGCATTGTTTCAATCTTGTTATGTAACTAGAAAGCATAGGCAGGCAGTAATAAAGAACCAGAAGGTAGACCACACAGTAAAGGCTACTGCTTCTTTCACAAGTTAGGTTGAAACATTAATACTTTCTTCATGAAATAGGCAGATTTAGTTTTTTCAGGAATCATGCATTATAGTAGAAATAAACTCTATTATTTTATTCATAAAACAACTGTAAGTATATAAGCAAAGCTTAGTGGGATAGGGTGAGCAAAATGCTAAATTCTGCACTATATCTAAAGGCTGGCTGGCTGTGTCAGGCAGGGCAGGAAGGGTGCTTTCAACTGGAATTTCAGCCCATTAGATCTTCATTATTCAGAATTTGAAATCAAAGAAGAGCAGGTATTCATTATGCCAGCTACAGGATATACATTTGTTTCTTTCCTCCCAACTCTTTCCATTCTTCTTTGGAAATTTATTCTCACAATATTATGCATGATTTAGCCAATACTCGGTGCTGGAATGCATATCCTGCAAATATCCAAGGGTTAGAATTCAAACTCCAGTATCTCAGGATGGAGAACTGCTTCAAGTCATTAAAGGCTCTAATCAGTCTAAAAAACGATCTGGACTGCTTCTTAGTGTAACCGACACATATCTAATATAATACATTTCACAGCAAGACAGCATCAGCATTTCTTTCACTGACCAGTTTGATTGATGCTGGATTTTCCATAATAGTATGGGCTGGCAGAGGTAGCATAATGAACTGTGCAGTAGGTGCAGAAGCATTACTTTCTTCTCTATCCTATAAAATGAAGAGAGAAAACACTAATTAAGTTGATTGTATTCTATATTCTGGTCGTGTGTTTCTCTTTTGTTATTCTTGACACATGCAAAAACTATCAATATAAATCTTGCAAAGCATATTACACAAGGACAGGAAGACAGCAGATCTACAGATGCAGCCATCCTGAAATGCCAGGTTACCTTCCAGCAAAAGGGATTTACCAGTGTACATACCCCAAAGCATCCTTGTCTATAGTAGCCTTCCCCAGCCTATTGCTCTCCAGAAGTTTTGGAATTCAATTCCCATCCGCCCTAGCCAGCATGGCCAATGATCTGGAACTCTGCGACCTGAGAATCAAAACTTTGGGAGAACCAGGGAATTCTCCTGTACAGTAATAACGCTGCAATTCAACGGACTGGGGATAGGTCCCATTAGCATCAGTGGTATTTACATCTCAGCAGATCAGCACTGCATCAGGTACTAAGCCTGTCAAAAGAGGAAATGCTATCATCAGGTTTACTTACTCTTCTAGTAACCACAGTTACCACAGAAAGGCCATCTGAAGCCTGTGGTTGTGCTACAGTGATGGCTCCTCTGGATGCATCCGAGCTGTTAACTAGTGTCTCTTCAATGACCACACTGGCTCCGTGATAGGGATAGCTGTCCCCTACTTCCAAAGGGGCTTCATCCACAAGGACCTCACCAGCTCCTTTATGCGCAGCAGGTCGTACATAATGAGACAAGATCTCTGATGCAACAACTTCTTCTATAGCGTCTGATTGAACAAATGATGCTGGGTCTTCTGAAACTCCTTCAATAGCAATGCACTGTTCAGAAATGCCAATATGGCTGGAGTCTACCGAAACGATGTTATGCACGGTACCATGAGAAACATTTGTGACATTAGGAGAGGCTGTTAGTCCTTCTGATGCTGCTTGGCCCTGCGTCACACAAAGTTCCAAGTGCTGCTTGTTCCGCTCCTCCTGGAGACTGCCTTTAGGAATTATTATATAATCCGAACGAGGGAGGATTTTACGAAAACCTGGAATGTCTGGAACGACAGCCGTCAGGGAAGACAACTTTGAGTTCTACAGAAAAAAGCAGATAGGGAACAGGGGGACATCAATGGTTGCAATCTGGAAGCCTACAACAACCTCCAACTGCAAAATGCTATGAAGACCTCCTTAGAAACACTTTCATGCTTTCCCTCACTTTAATTCCATTTGATCCTTCAAAGCCACAAAGTTTGTGGGAGATCCTCCATTAAAATCTACCATGGTACTTTTTCTGTAACATGTGTAACTGGAACATGCTAACATCCAGTCATTTCCCACACAGACAAGTATTTTGCATCATCAATTTTTGTAAATGGTTATGCACACTTCTCATAAATCCATTATATTTGATGAAAATCCAATGCTCTATAATAGTAGCATACAGTATAAAATAATCATCTAGTTGGTTGCCCTCTTAAAATGCACTCCTCATTTTTTGTTACAGTAAGAATCCTAACACTGATATTTCTGCAGCCCCATTTACAGTATATTTAAATTCCCAAATGCTTGCACCAGATGTTTTAGGTACCTTGATTACAAGGCAACTGGGATGTTTCCTTGCAGTGTCATCAAGAGACCATAAAGTAATAGTAGAAAATGAAGAAACCAAATGCTTCTCCACAACACACACAGAGTTCACACAACAATCTCTAAAACAGCACTAGACCACTGGCAGCATTTGAGATTAAGTTAAAAGACCAAAATATTTAATATTTTGTTTATTTGAAGCTTTCAGTATGTAGTAAAACACACCATAACGTGTTACATGCCTGCAAATGGCATGTGCCATGAAAATAATTTACCGAGTCTAGACCTTCTTTTTCCAACTTTGCCTTCTCCAGATAGTAACTCTTCTCAGCCACACTGAGCAATCTCCAACTCTCACTGATTTTCTTATTAATTTCAGACTGGGGAAGATGTGGAAGCTCTTGCTGAACCTTCAAATATATATCATAGTAATATAGAAGGTATGCAGATCTGAAAAACAAGTAAAACCCAGATTTACACTGTCTACTCATAAATCCCATCAGAAGGCAATGAGAATTTGGGTCAACATCTGAAGTTTTGCTTTTCAATGAACAGTCAGAAACTACAAGAAGTATTTCATTAAGAGAAGTGTTGGAAGATTAGGACCACAACCTTTATTCTGTTAATCACAATCCTACACATTTTCAATGAATTCAGTGGGACTTACTCCAAAGTAAGTGTGCAGGCTTAGGTTGCTGTCCTATGCACTTTTACTTGCGATCTCAGAAGTGATAATTTCCAAGCAAACATATACACAACCAGGCTATAAATGAATTAATGCATTTGTTGGTCAAATAATGAGACTGCAAGTTAAGGACACTTTTGTTTATGCTCAAGGCCATTTTAGTTCTAATGTAACCAACACAGAAGTTTTTTTTAAAGAAAACTAAATAGCATTACTTCACAATTAACAGTACAATTTGTTCAGTGAATTAGTTGCAAGCATATGCAATGTCTGAAGACAGCTGATGCAACCATTATGCCAAAGCTAAGCAGGTCTGAGTCTGGTCACTGCACAGATGAAAGACAGCCTAGGAATCCCATTTATGCTACCTCAAGTTCCATGATGGAAGAAAAGCAGGCTGTAAGTCAGTGGTTTTCAACTGCTAGTCAGCAGGCAATTTCCTGCCAGTTCATGCAAAAAAGCCCTGCGGAGGAGCTGCTGAGTGGCGGCATAGGAGAGCAGCAACTTGCTCCAGCTCTTTCCCTCCTCCTGCTATGATTGGCTCAGTTCTCCTGGTGACAGCAGCAGCCCCGAGCAAGCAGAAAGAGCGGGCTGAGTGTGAGTTGCTGCCCTCCTATGCAGCTCTGAGAATACCGCTGCCGCCGCCACCTCCTCAGTGTGCCATGCAACTGGCCCCAAGCTGCCTGGTTCTCATCTTGCGTCACCTGACAAGGTGAGCAGCATGGCCATCTTCCAGGCGTTGCTGCTGATCGTAGCTCCTTTCAGGCAGCACAAGACCCAAGCGAGGGAAAGAGCTATGATGTCATTCTGGTGTCCAAACATAAAATGCAATCATTGTTACAGTTTTGGATATCACTGGAAAAAGAATATCCATCTCTAAGTTACAGAGCTATTAAATTATTACTTGTTTTTTCTACCACATATTTGTGTGAAAAGAGTTTTTCAGCCCTGTCACTGCTAAAAACCAAACAGAGAAACAGAATGGATGTCAGTGCAGTGCTTCATCTCTCAAAAACAACACTGCAGCCACAGCTATCAAGTATTCTTGAAAAGAAGCAACAGCAGATTTCACATTAGCCTTACTTGAATTAAATATTGCTCTCCAGAAATTTCAGTTGTATTTGATTACATTTAATTTTAATTTTTTATTCTTTTGTTAGCATTTTTTTACTGCTCAGCTTCTGGTTATTTTAGAGAATTATCATTTTTGGTATTATTTTTAAAAACTAATACACAAAATACTATATTGGCTATATAATGCTTTTTATTCCTGCCTTGGCAGTTCCCAAAAACATTTTCCTATTTTTTTAGACAAAAGCAAGCACACTAAAGAACTCTCAGCCCAAGAAAAAGATGTTCATATCATATACACTCATTAGGAGAACTCGCTCACCTGGGTTTTTTAGCCTTTTCTCCTTGATCTCCAGGACCTCTATATTTCTTCTTCTTTTTAGATGGGACAGGAGATGCATAGGTGTATGCACTTTCTATTTCCTCCATTACTACAGTTACTTCACTGCCATCATATGTAGCCTCCATTGCTAAAAAGAAAGTCTAAGAAGTCATACATTCCCTGTACACCAGACATTGATCTTCTTATCTTCCAAAACCTTTAAAAGCTGAAAGGTCCAAATTCAGTATATTTTGAGATACAGTTTCAAACACTGGTTAGTTTGAATATTAGTTAAGGAGTGTGGGATACTGGTTCCAAGCATCAGAGATTAAATATAGTCCTGACAGCCTCCTGCCCAATAAATAGCATACAAATCTTCAGCCCTAAGCAACTGAAGGCCAATGGTCTTTAGGGATTTGTAAAACAAGCCTAAGATTACTTCACACATAACTATCTTATACAGATAGCACTTCTGCAACAGGAGGACACATATATGAGCTTCTATACTATATGATTGAGAAACCTAACTATTTTGTTGCATTCAAAGAATCCACAATAGACTGAAAATTAGACACAGATGTGAAGATATATGGGCACATTTCACATGACAAGATGCACTGGTGTAACAGAAATGAGTATTGCATATTAGGCAGCCATTAGAAACCTGAACTGCTTTGCTACAGTGAAACATTCATTACAAAACCTTGTTGTTCTTTCATTAATATTATTTCAAAAAAGAGACTCAACATGAAGCTCAGGCATTCTGTCTGCAGCACACTACAGTTTTGGAGGCTAAGCAGATTGCATCTATCTTTCTGCTTCCTTGATAGTTTCTCCTTTTATGACTGTCCTGAAAAATCTGCAAGACAGTTGTTCACAATATAATGAATAAGTGAGAAGTGCCACGAATAACAGTATGTAAAAATTTGAAATGGAGAAAAATATTAACACCAAGCCGCGTATAGAAGTTGAACATAAAGTCCTTTCCCACTAAATCAAAAGGAGCTCGTCCAGGACAACAAAACAAAGAAGTGAAAGAATTTAGATGTGCTTTTGTCCAGGTAGAGGAAGTTTCTTATTTACTCAGGACAGACTATTTTAAGCCTCCCCCTTTCTTGAAGAGGCATTGATCTGCCGAAGTCCCATCTCCCTCCCCAAAGCTGACACCCGCATTTCCTAAGATACTGCAGCACCGAGCTGACACAGAGGTCGGCCTATGGCACCGCCGCCGCTCTTACTAAAATCGCCGCGACCCAAACTTGTCCTACTCGGGTTCCTAAGGACGGGGCGTGCCAGGACTCACTTGAGGGCGCGGGACAAGACGGTCATATCCCAGCAGAGAGTAATTCCGCGGCCCGAGCATGCCTAGACGCAGGGCCAGGTCACCCCGCTCACGGCTTGCCAAGCAGGTGGAGCGATCCCGAACGGAACGCGCCTGATAATTATGCCGGGAGTGTATCTTATGCCTGGCACCATGCCGGAAGTTGTACTTCGACAAGTTCTTCTTCCGGTAGCCATAGGTCACCCTATTAGGGAACGTTGGGGAGGTAGAGCCGCGAGAGGGCATCATCATCGTGGGCGAAACCATAGAGCGAAGCCAGCAGTGAGCGTGAGAGAAGATAGAGCCTGTCTAGGCGGGCGAGATAGATATAGAGTCACAGGGATTTCCGTCGGGCGGGGGTGAGCAGGGCGGCGCTACGTGCCAGTGAAGTTCTGCGCGTTTGAACGCCGCCGTTTTGGATTTAAAGGCGGAGGTTGATCGCCTGATCTCAAACTCTCCTTCCCCGTTCCCCGTTCAACAGAGGCCCCAAAAAAACCAGGGATGGGGCAGGTATCCCCAGCCGGGAAGCTTCCCGGGAAACTCCCCTACCGCGATGCTTTCTTCTCCGAGTTGGACCGCTGCTGCCTCCTCCTCCTCCTCCTCCTCTTCAGTCTTGCTCACCCTCTGGACGCCGTGGCTGGGCGCGGGCTGGGCCTGGGCCCGGGCCCATGGCACTACCGCCTGCGCAGTGGGAGCGCTCACTTAGCCCCTTGGTGCTGGGGCGCAGAGGACTGCTCATGGAAGCGTTGGGCACCCTGCCCTCTCGGTCCCTTCTCTGGATTCTCCTTCCCTCTGAGCAGTGCAGTGATGGGGTTCTTCCTCTTGAACCAGACACTCCTGGCTATGCCATCCCAAAGGGGTGGGTGGGCTGGAGCAGCCTGTGCTTACACATGGCCTCTTTCCCACAGCGGCAGTGGTTGCCACTGTCTCTGGGATGCTGACCTGGCATCTCCCTCTGCAACACTCACTACCTGCTTGTGTATCTCTTTGGGTGATGCAGCAGAAAGGGCTGCGCTTAGTGGAGGTCTTCGAATGGGATGACTTTGGAGCCAGTGGTCTGGGCACTTCTGTCTCTTCATCCTCTTTCACTGAGTAGTATATTGGGCTAGTTGGGCCCAATCACCACCATCTAATCAGAGGGAGGGTGCAGGTGAAGTGGAGAAGCTGGCTGTATCTTCAGTGATCCACCTTTTATGCAACAGTGCTCAGAAAGTGAGGGTGAGCAAAAAGATGGTCTGCCTCATTTCACAGCACTCTGGCCTCAGTCTTCCCGAACAGACCTGAACATTCACCACTACTTTCATGCATATTTCCATACCTGCCCCAAACATGCCAAAGCTCAGAAGTGGAGGCATTACAAGAAAGATCTGACTTTTTCTTTGCCAGCATCTGCTGAAAGGACAGAGGAAAAGAGGAGAGATTGCTATATTCTGTTCACCTTTTTGATTGTCTCCATTCAGTTGCATACTTTTCCTTCAAAATAAAAGGAAATAAAATGCCATCTGGAGTTAGACCCTTAATGTGGGGCAACAGAAGGGTCTCTGATCCAATCACAAAATGTCATGAAAGGTTGAGCTGAGCGTAAATGGTTATTAAAACATTGTGTTATACTGTACTGTTGTTTTTTTTTTCTTTTCTTTTGCATGAAACACTGGGAGGTTGTCTTTCAAGGTGCCAGATTAAAAGCCTAATACCCATTTCTGCAGAGCAGGGCCTTGTAAGGTTCCAAAGAGGCAGGAGGCTGAATGTCAGAGAAGAGACAGTCAGTACAAGCCAGCAGACCTTGCCTTTTTATACATCAGCTTACAGAAACAATGAGCTTCCGTAGCAGGGCTTATTTGTTTATTTTGCCCCACCCTTCAGACAAAAAGTCTCCCAACAAGGCTTACAGAGTGATTTTAAAAAATAGCCTATCCTCCGGTTTACAATCTAACAGACACAACACAACAGAAAAAAGGAGGAGGGCAAGAAGAGGGGGAAACCAGCCATCACTGGTTTAATTTTAATTGTAATTTACCAAGTTCTCATAATGACCAGCTGGGATGGAATGAAACAGCAGGAGCCAAAAGCAACTAAACTGATGTGGTGGTCCTCACTCTGATGCAACCTGATGGAATGACCTCAGCTGGGTGATAATTAAGGCAAAGAGAAGCAAGTTCAAAAGAATTTTTGATTTGTTCTTGTACTGGCTCAGACAAAGCTTCATGGGAGAGTAAAGCTGCCACTTGCCCACTACATATAGCACAGCTTTGAAAAATTGACGTTTAAGTACTTCCTACAAAGTACATGAGGGCTGGATGTGGCCATCAAAGACTGTTCACAGCCTTTCCCTATCCTAGAGCCATAGAATAGAGTTGGAAGAAGCCATGAAGGCCATTGGGTCCAACCCCCCGCTGTTGCAGGACACCAGTTTGCAACATCCCACTCAGGTGACTGTCTAGTTCTTGAATGTCTCTAGTGTGGGAGAGCCCCATGGTGTGATTGGGCATGAGAGACCATAGTTTTCCTTATTATATTAAAAAAGAATCTGCAACCATAATCCAATTTATTTGCATTTGCCTCTTACTAAGCATTAACTGCATTTTCAAATTGTCCCTTAACAGCTTCCATACCATCGATCCAAAGCATTATGCAAAAGTATTTTGAAAGCTTGAGACTCTCTCTGGGATTTGCTTTCTAAATATTTCTCTGCTACAGTATATTTTCTGTGTCTTCTAGGCAGGACAGTAGAGTCAATGAATGCCAGTTGGAAACAGGAACTATGAACGAAACCAACTCCATAACCAGTTTTTAGAAAATAAAGTTTTGAAGAAATTTGCCCTCCACAACTTCCAACAGATTATGCAAAGTGTTCATTTTTAAAACAGGCTTCCTTCACTTGCTTGCTAAAGGCTTCTGGACCACTCTTTTCCTTCGGTGCACTCCAGCCAACTAACATCATCTTGCACAGTGTCAACACATCAGATGGTATTTGTCAAAAACATGAGCTCTGAATAAATCCAATTTCATTCCCAGTTCTTAGAAAATAATGCATTAAGGGCAAAGCATTATACTATAATGCTTCTAATTTACTTGTATCCTTTTCAAAGCATTACACTGGCCAAAGGTGGGTTAGGCCTAGTCCAGAAGCTTAAACCATAAGTTTGGTCTGGGTAGCCATATGATTTCTGGACTCCTGTCATTGGGCCAGCATCCCAGTGCAAAGAAGGAGTTTTCAGTGTTGGAGTGGGCAATTCACAGCCTTCTTGATGTTGTAGCAGACAACTCCCATGATCCTTGGCTAAAACTTCTGGAGGGCATAAGTTGCCCACCCCTGTTTTATGTCCTTAATAACTGTAGACCAATTAGGGAGGTAAAGAATTCACTCAGTTCTTGTGTTACTGATTGAAGTGCAGCTTTTATGCTTCCAGTCTGCCACAACTATTTCATCACAAGAACTGAAGTACATTATAGTATTTCAGAAGAAAATTGTGAGGATAGTAGCTGAACATAACTGTACTCACTTTTCCCATTTCTGCTACCATTTCTTGGACAAGTTTCACTTCCACACGTTCTCCAGATAGCTGCAGAAGGGGGGCCCATACACTCCTTCCACCCAAAACTTCTGGCTTCAGCCTCAGCCTTCACACTTTGAATCGGAAGGTGGATCTCTGGCACATTTAGCTGAGCAGTCTTAGAATCCCCTACACTGTCAGCCATCCTGTGCAATTGAAATTCAGTTGCAGCCTCACTCAAACATTGATTCTCCCTTCATACCCTGCTACTGTATGCAACCAAAAGAGCAAGAACATCTGCACTGCGCGTGTATGAGTAATAGGGTTACTCAGTCACTGAATAGGGTTAAAGCTATACAATTGGACAGGAGAACCAAAGTACTACTAAAGATTCCTTTTAACCATCAATGGCAGAGTTGCCAGACACATCTTTTATTAGGGAAGCAACTCTAGCTTAAACTCTCGGGTTAAAAGCCCAAGACAAGAAGAATCTTTGTTCCTCATCCTGTCCTGCAGTTGGCGGTCAGTGGCAAACTACAGTAGCAGCTTTTGAGAGAGAGACACCAAGAAAGAGGGAGAGCAAGAGATTCTGGGCAGCTGGTTCCCTCTGCCATTTGGATGCAGGGCTATCTGTTGGAGTAATAACCTGTGCACATCTGGCTTTATTCAACCCGGCCATATTCCTCTAGTGACCTCCTTCCAAAGTGCTGTGACCCTCAAAGTTGTCACCCCTCAAAGATGTCACCCCCTGCTGTGACCCTCTCAGGAACTGAAGTGTAGAGATCAATATCCTGCTGAAACCGATGGCGCCCCCCTCATTTAGAGATCATGTTACTGATAAGATTAAATATAATAAGAATAATCTGGCTGGCTATCGATATTGCTTCTGAGTTCTGCTTAAGGAATGATCACATTAATTCCTTTATGCACATTAACTGCACTATTGGAACTCCTCCTCTCAGCCTTCTCCAACCTGGTGCCATCCAACTCTGTTAACTACAGTTCCTATCACCCTCATGATAATGGGAGCTGTAGTTAAACACATCTGGATGGCATCCATTTGGGGAGGGACGCCAGCCCTTTCTTGTCACTCATGCAGATTTTGAAAACTGAAAGAACCCGAGCAGAAAAATAATTTATTTGCATGGTCACCTATGAACACAACAACTAGTATTTAATGACGGGAAGCCCCATAGGAAATGTAAGTGACAGCATCCAATCCAGGGTCAATGACTTAGCCTGTCAAAGTCCCACTGCAGGTGGTCTGTAGATACCATAATTGGCGACAAGCTGTCTGTTCTGTGTCAAGCATTACTTGGTTTGCTTTTAAGTCATGCAGTTTATTTATTCTCAACTCCTGGGGGAATTTTGTTGGCTGATCCACAGTAGACCGTGTTCGTTTGATTCACAGACAAAACTAATTGAGTTTATGGAGCTGACCTGTAAATTAGGAGAGAAACTGAAGACAAAGATGTCACTCGGGAGCACCTACTTGAAAGTGCAGCCCTCTAATATACTCTTCACAGCCCGATTATAAATATTCCCAGTTCCAAATGAAATGGTGTTTCTTCAGCTAAATGGTGCCTGGTTCCCAAATCTCCTGCAGGCAGGGAACAGCATCATGATGCAAGGACCACAGGAGTAGATCTATCTGGGTTCTGCCGT